ATTTCATTCATTGTCTGAATGATTTTCATACGAGCACTCATAATCAATTATGAATTTTATCACAATTTATTTAAATCAGTACCAACTGTGTAAACGAAAACTCCTCATCGAAATTTAACAATGAAATATTGATAAATTCAAAGTAAACTGATTGATAGTTTACTCAGCAATGATCGTCGAATAAAGAAATTATTTTTTTCATTCCTACTACTTCATTTTAGACAAAATTGAAAGAAGTAAGACCTGAATATTTTGTGACAGATTTGAAATTGACGAGATAATAAATAACGGTAAATAATTCAAATTCATGCGAGTATTGAGAAAGCAATGCTGCATGATCAATACCTCTAAAGTTCTCAAAATTAACTAATAATTCTGAACTGACGTTGTTTCGTAATTCGTCTGCATTGATTGTCAAATTACAAAGGGATGCCACGCCCTGATCTATTCAATATAATTGATGCCTGATAATAAAAAAAATTCCATATAAGCTAGTGATATCTGAGCCAAGATTTTAAGTAATACGTTGCAATGAACGTCTAACTTATACAATAAAGTTAACTGACAATGTGTCCGAGTCGTTCGCTGATTATTGAAAGTCAAGCGTAAGCCTTACCCTGAGACTTGGCACCAACCGAGCTGCTGCCCTGCGACCTTGTGTGTTAGTGTGCCATGTGTGTTGGTGCATATATTGCTCTAACTGAATATGTTGCTAACTGTTGGTGCATATATTGCTCATACTGAATATGTTGCTAACTGTTGGTGCATATATTGCTCTTACTGAATATATTGCTAACTGTTGGTGCATATATTGCTCATACTGAATATATTGCTAACGTTTGGTGCATATATCTCTCATACTGAATATGTTGCTAACTGTTGTTGCATATATCGCACTCTCCGAATATGTTGCCAACTGTTCGTGGGTATATTGCAGTTACTGAATATGCTGATAACTGTTTGTGGGTGTGATGCAATTTCTGGAATGCTCCTATTTGTTCTTGTCTTGCTGCTTACGCCTGTCTTGCTTTTTGCAACTTTTTGTGTGCATTTTCTCAGTGTTACCAGGCCTATTTATGCATCGAGGAAAATTCAGTACCAGTTATTGTTTTCGTCTTTATGTGCTTAGTTTCAGTAGCGGTATATGTTGGAAAGACTTTATAGTCAAATTGTTAGTGTCTGTATTCGTTGAGGTTTCTAATTGTGTTTTGGGAAGTTAGTGCTTGTACCAGTAGGGTTTCAGAGATTTAATGTGTTTAATCTTGATTTTGGTTGTTCCTGTGTTGAATGTTTGCCTCCGTATGTATGGAGTTGTATGAATTAGGTGTGTGTGTAAAATGTGAATCAGCCATTTGGTCGAAAATTTTACAATGAATGATTAAAGCTTTTAAAATGACGGTTTATACATGAATACAGTTTAATTTAAATTTTCGATGCCAAATTATAACTTTATTAAAATATATTGACTTATTCAGCACTTGAATAGTGACAAAGAAGAGAGCTTTATTTACTGATTTACATTCAAATGACAGTTTCTCTAAGGGCAAAAAGTTCAGAGTTTGCTAACTGTTGGTTCATATATCGCTCTTAATGAATATGTTGCTAACTGTTGGTTCATATATCGCTCTTACTGAATATGTTGCTAACTGTTGGTGCATATATCGCTCTTTCTGAATATGTTGCTACCTGTTGGTGCATATATCGCTCTTTCTCAATATTTTGCAGTTTGTGGGTGTATTACAGTTTCTGAATAAGTTGCTAACTGTTGGTGAATGTGATATTATTTCTGGATACGTTTCTCGTTGTTTGTGAGTGTAATGCTGCTCATTCGTGTATAGCCTTTTCAACTTTTTGTGCTCATTTTTATCAGTGTTGCCAAATCGATGTTACCTATGAATCGAGGAAAATTCAGTTTCAGTTATTGTTTTTTGTAAAAATATCTCAGATTTTTCGTGTCTTCACGTGTTTAGTTTTGTAGCGGTATATGTTGGAGAGATGTTTTTTTTGCAGTTGTATTTTTAGTGTCTATATCTGTTTAGGTTTCTAATTGTGTGTCTAGGGAAGTTGATGCTTGTACCAGTCGGGCTTTTGAGATTTAATGTGTTTTAGTCATGAGTTTGGTTGTTCTTGTGTTGAATATTTGCTTCCGTAGGTATGGAGTTGTGTGCATTAATTGTGTGAGTTGAATCAGCCAGTTGATCAAGACTTTTATAATGACTTTCACATGCATATAATATATCACAGAATGAAGTTGCCTTTTTAGATCTTTTCGATGCCAAACTAAAACTTTACTTATTCGTCACTTGAATGGTGATAAAGAAGTGAGCTTTATTCACTGATTTACATTCAAATGACAGTTTCTCTAAGGGCAAAAAGTTCAGAGTGCGCACGCGTCGCTTGTTTCGTTGAGACTCATCTTATCAACCTTCAGCTGTCAACGGAGCCAAGATTAATTAGTCTCATTGCTTTATTTAGTATTTTAATGCGTCGTAACTTGGTTTGTAACAGTCAACAGTCTGTCAGAATTGCAGAATAAATTTCGTGTTCATATTCAGATTCCCTTTGACTGAACACCAGAAGCTAATTTATCTTGTGAAGACGCTGGTTTCTCAACGCTCGTGGTGGTGGTGGTGGTGGCGGTGGTGATGGTGGTGGTGGGGGTTAAAACAAGAGGGTGCACAGAACGGCTAGAAAGTAGTAGGAAAAAATTAAATGACAGTAGGAGACTAAAATCGCTGAGCGTATAATTCGGTTTCTGGTCGGTGATTGGGCCATGAACGGAGGATAACCAATCGTAGCCATGATGGATAATACGCTCGTCTCATTCGCTTACAATTTATGCGGCATGTATGCGTATTGTTCATGCTGAAGTCTTGGCTGAATGAAAATATACACCTCACGAATCTCTGTTGGCTAAAATATGATATAGTATCAAACCCTTAGAATTTATAACATTTTTGTTTTATAAACTAATCTCTAAATTCAAGACACTGAATCAGAATAATTTGTATTAAGCAGACAATGTCGTAAAGTTAACTTTGTCAACAGACCTTTTGGAGGACACAGGTCTGACTACGCAACGTCAAAGTGTCTAGTCTCTATGAGGTCGTAAAAGTGATTGCATTAAATAAAAAAATGTTTCTGAGCGCTCGATGCGCCTGCCCCGTGATTCTGATACAAGAATATAAAACAAGGTGATTCAGTCTGTATTCTGTTGCAGGTATCACAGCAAACAACAGTGTCCAAATTAAAGGGGAAATGAGACACACGGTGTAAATAATTATACTTTATAACATTTCCACGCGCAGTAAAGGTCTGATAAGAGCCTGGGGCGTGCGAGATTTGTGTACGATCACGAACGCGTGCATGTGCGTCCACTGAACCAACGTTGCGGCACTTGGCAAGCTAAGAGTTATACGGTGGGCAGGGGATGGTTGCTAAAGTCAGGCCCAAATCGGGCACCGTATCAAGTGTCACTTACCTTGAAGCTTCTCCGAGTGTAATGGATCTGATTTAAAGCTGTTATTTACATTTTTGTAAACAATTACAAAGTAAACTTATCGTAGCATGAGGCCTGGGATTTAAAATTTTGTGTACAATTATCAGATTCAATTACCGTATGCAAAGACCTTAGCATATATTTTTCATATCAAAGAGCTTAATGGGAGAAGAGACTGCTACTCTCCTCGTAGCGAGGCGGTGTACTAATCCAGTGCTACATAAAATCAATACCCTAAGTACTCACTTCCGTCACGTAGTCAATAAAATCATTCAAATCTATTTTTCTTCGTAGAAATATTAGTTCTAAGTCTATAATTAACAGCTGCTATGGGATTTACTATTAAATTGAAAATAGGGTTCCGATCCTGGTAACCTTGAATATTGTTTAAATGAAAGATTATGAACTGCTGAATGCCCATTTGAATGAATTGACTAACAGAATTGAATGCCCGCAGTTACTGTTAGACATTGTACCACATATTGAAACAATAATTTTCATAGTCAAGAGAATCGAAGTTGATAAATGAAAAAAAATCTTTATATATAGTGGTTTGGTAGGCACGACGAGTTAAATTTTGTAGTGTTAGTCATTTTGCGAGTTTTATTTTGTAATAAAATTATAATTTACCTTTACCTTGGCAACACCATTAGGAAGTTAACGCCACGCACACAATTTTCTCGATAATCATTATCGTTCGGCTAATCCCCGCTGCAGGTTAGTTAAAGCTCTAATAGGTTCCATCTTACTATTTGAATAATTGTTATATTGTATTATTATTTCTTTATTCATCTTCAACGACGATTATTTATTAGATTTACTCTTCATCAGATACTCACGTTGCCAAGGGTATTATTTTCACTATTTTTCTATAGCATAATAATTATTTTCAAAGCCCACTTTGTTGTCAATTTTCACTGCATTAAAATCTCAGTTCCAGTCTCTTTCATTTTCAATCCTGTTATATTACTGTGTGGGTAATGATCGACTGGCTCTTACTCCACAGCTTTTTGCACCTGCCCTAGAATTTGTTTTCAATTCAACCCATCGTTCTGAGGTTCAGTACGAAACTTTTTATTGATTGAGCATACCTAATTACTGATTCAGAAAAAATGGAGATTTTCCTTTCTTTTATACGTGAAATATTTAGTATTCTCTGGTGAGTCAAATGAAATCAAGAACAAAGCCTCATTAAGGGACGTAAATCATTAATTGTTTCAGAACATTGGAATTATTTCAACACTGGTGAAGTTCCTGTTTCGTCAGCTATACAGCCATTAAAATTTCAAACGAAACTTTCAAATTAAGTCCGAACTCGACAAGCTATTATATTACCATACTTGACTTGACATGATCAGTGACCACCGAAGACTCAATCCGAAATGTTAACTTGACTCAATTTTGGAATTTCTGCATTTTTACATTTTGAGTATCGAAACACAGTTCATGAAAAGAATTCTGTTGAATAATATAAACGTTTGCGAACAATGGGTGGTTTCAGCCTCAGGCGCAGTACAACGTATGTCGGCTACCGGGCCGGACAATCGAACGCTGGTTCCTGCCAACACCAAGGTCCAGGGTACAGTTTTTGGGAGACTACGAATCGTCGAGTCCGCATTGTCCGTTCCCTAGACATCTAAGGTTGAAGAGAGGCTCAAGTGCCCCTCCTGAAGCGTTGTTTTCCTCAATAAGGTTTCTGCCGCCACCCACGGTCGATGGTCGTTATCTTTCGGTAGGCAGTTATAAATGTTTTTTTTTACATGTTGTTCGTTCGTTAAAATGACGGAGGTCGGAAAAGTACGTGATCTATCTAATAAACGGCGAGGAAGATCGTGCGCTCTTTGGGACCTCGTAATGATTTGGAACTAAATGCAGAAATAGTACGGTATATTGATTATGACTAGAATAACTTTTGCCTGAAACGGCGGATATTTATGGCTGGAAATCCATATTGCACATTTCGAATTTTTTTTTCTTAAATGTCCAGCTGTTCATTAAGGATTACGTTTTACGTCTTATTTTATTTGCGGGTGTGGCTGTACGATGATGACTGAGTTCAACTCAATTTAGTAAAAAAAACACATTTAATTTATCTATTGGGTCTTCTGCCTCTGAATCAGGCATGCATGCCTCTTAGTAAATGAATACCTATGAAGTGATTTTTCCAAAATGAAATGCAAAATTGAATTAATGGAAATGAGTTAGAAAGATCACTTACTTTTTCACGACCAAAATTCCATTATACTTGAAGACGTTCACTAATTCGACCAAAAATAAAAGAGTGCGTAACTAACGGCTAAAAACTTAAATGCATGCCTGGAAAATTCAGAGCTAAAGACCCATTAAAGAATTCTTCCTCAATAAAACAATGAGTCTAACATCCCACAATTAGCCAAAGTAAACATCCTACAATTAGACAAGAAATTAAAGAGCAAAAAAATTTGTCGTTAGCACTAAAATTTATCATTTTTTATAGACAAGTTCAAGTAATGAGTCGAAAATCTACTGGAAATCAGAATAAATCCTAAGAATGCTCGTAAAAATAGTACATTTTAACATTTTTCATTATCTTTATTACAAATTTAAGATTAATCAACTTATTACTTTCCATGAAATCATAGATTTGGTTGAAAGTGCGTAAGGTCAATAGTGTATGCACATCTAAGATTTTGAGAAAAATGTCACCTTTTTCGCAAACGAATAAGATCTTATTTTTTGAGTAAAAATAATTTCAAGAAACAATGTTCAAGTTACATTTGAAACCTCATTTAAAGTTTGGATAATTTCCTCAAGAAAAAATATGACTATCATCGTCATGCAGAAAGCGGCTGTTGACGGTTGAAAAAAAATACCTTAGAAAAATTCTTTCAAAGCAGATTACTTGTTTAATATAAGCTCTGAGTGCAAATACCATGTCGTTTCACATAACTTGTGTGTTCGAGTTTGTTGAAGACATTTGATAATCTATGGGTCATGTTGCTGAAGACGTTTGGTAATGTATGGCTCATGATGCAAAAACGATTTATTTTGTGCCGATATTGCGGTCTTATATTCGACGTAGAAATTCTTGGACTTTTATCCTTATTGTTGTGCTGTTCAATTTACTGGTGGAATTGTGTTGGCTGGTTTGAATTCTGTTTTGAATGTTTTGCATTTCGATGAAATTGGGAATAAATTGGCTTCGGCAAAATAACTCATTTTAATGTTTCTTATTTGGCAGATACTTTTTAATTCATTGCAAAGGATAAAAATACTATATTTATCCCTGAACTAAATTTTTTTTATGACAGTCTTGAAATTTGTACGCACGTTCATCTATTGACGGTAACACATTCTTGATATTTAATAATTTTTAAATTTTACTGTTTAACAGCAGCTGAGAGTTACACAGGTTAGACGTCGTTGTTTCTCTCCCACTTGTACACTGATATTAATTAGCCAATTAACGCGTACCAAACAACTCATGATAAAATCGGGTGCACCAGGACGATGATGACGATGCAGGGTCGAGGGGGCGTAGCGTGTCCCCTAGGGGGGCCTCGAGCTACATCCCCCCGGCACGCACGAGGCTAATCCTCAACCGCTCCTTCCTAAACCCCACCCCTCCTCCCCCTCGGGTGCGGACACAGCATAATGTTATATCGAAATAAATATTTCTAGTCTTATAACGAGCGTGAGCTGATTTCCAGTATTTTCTCTTAGTTTGTTGAGGATTTAATTTCAGTTGCGACTATGACTGGCAAACGTTTATTTTAAACTTTGATTTTTAAGGATAAATTTCAGTAACGCAATGCGACGAGATTATCTTTTATTTTATTAGCGACACTGATTTCATAATTATGGCGAATATAAAATTTGAGTTCAACTTTACATCTTACATCTTCGTTTATTTTCTTGATGTATGCATACAAATTTTTTATAGAATTTTTTAATAGACAATATCAGATGGGCGCCAATAACTCAGTCGGTCAGACTTGGAACTTTTCCAACATTCAGTCAATTATTTGAAAAATCAATGCATCAATTTTGCTACCATTAGATATTTTTTTGGTGGGCCTAATCTTGTTGAACTTTCAAAACATCATCATTTAAAAACTTTCATGCAGAAATGTATTTATAGAATTGATTTTCTAAAACAACTTACGGGGGAGTATAAATTCGGTGTCGCCCCCCCCCGGCCCCCTAAGCCATTCAACTTCCCCCTCCCATCACATCTGCTCTTTTTGAGGATCATTTTTCTTCCGCCCCACATCACTTCTGTCCATCACTCCATTCCCTTTTCGATTTTAGGTCAGGAGTCAGGTTTCAAATTTCAGCTGTGAATTTCACCCGAGGTTTTGAAATTTAGGATTCCTTAAGCACCATGCACAATGCATATTATTCAACGAAGTATGCAGTAATTTTTTTTTGTTCAACGTACGATTGTTGAAAATTTTTATTTGTTTACGCTTCTTTATTTCCTAAATTTTTGCTTCGAGTCCAGTTTGGTTCGAAATTTTTTTCCTAGGTTTCGGTTATGATTAGGATTTCTTGGTTTTTCTTGGAATCTTTTATTGTTTTAAATCTTATTTGACTTGTGTATGTGGACGGACTGCTGTACACATTAATGACTAGACTTTTAAATAATGATTAGAGATGAATTTTGATATTAATTAGTAAGACCATTTCGGCAGCATCACAATTAATTATTTCCTAAATAAAATCTAAACTTTTGTACCTAGCACTTCAAACGAATTAATGACATCGATTTTAACTTAAATTTATAAAAATTTTATAATCATAATATGATAAATTTGTGAATACCACAAATTACATCTATGCCAATTATGATAGTTCGCGTAAATGACATGAAAATTTGAAAAGCCATCGAGGAAATTAAAAAAAACTTTGATCTAACACAGTTATCTACTTGAAAGATGATTAATTTATTTCGAATATTCTGTACCAACAGAAGCAACTAACAAAAATTTATTATCTTTCCTGTTTTAAATAATATAAATCCTCGATGAAAAAAAAGTGGTGATTGAGGCCACTTTTTCTCACTTTTCTGATCATTGTGTGTTGTGTACCCGCCTTATTTTCAGCGGAAATACTTCTCGTAGTGCAAATATTATACTTTTCTAAAAAAACTAAACATTTCTTTTATAATTCAGTAATTATTTTATGTTTATATTCATAACTCTAATTATTATTCATTAAAATTCAGTTAAAATTATTATTATAAACCTTGTGAGAATATTAGTTGAATTGCAAAATTTGCATATATTTTTTTAGATGGGCTTTTAACTTGAAGTTATTTTAGCCTCACTTGTGATGATGCTATGCTTTGTGTTGTGTTTTGAGTTTACTGCTCTATTTTGACGCACTCTAAAGACTGATTAATATCCATGATGAGAGTTATTCGTTACGGCTTTGATGCCAGCACCACAATATTATGAATTCGATGATATCAGTTCAGAAATATACTTGAACGTGTAAAATTGAGAATCCCCGATGAACATTGATATATTATATAATCATTATTTAATTATTTATTATTAAAAATTAAATTACATATCAGTATAATATGTATTGTTGTCACACATTTAACTATGCAATAATTAATATTGATTGTACCAGGCCTATGGTCCACCCCTGGGACCACCCCGCATGATGCCTCGCATGGCTCCTAGCTACTATGACTACGACTATGGTGGTGGTTATGGTGGATATGGAGGAGGTTATGGTGGGGGTTATGGTGGAGGTTATGGTGGAGGTTATGGTGGATACGGTGGGGGATACGCGCCGCTGATTCCTCCTCCTGCCCCGCGACTCAGGTAAGCTAATTAGTATATATCTTATATGATATGTCTATATATCTTAGTATTAGTATATCTCATTAGTATATTTCTTGTTTTACTCTTTGTAATTCGAGCAGTTTTCTTATCAATACGTATGGATTTCAGGTTTCAATTTATTTTAACAATATGATTGGATTTAATTTAATTATTTGCTAGTATCAAAATTTAATATTGATGATATATTAAATGCAATCTTAAATATTTACAAAATATCAAGTTTTTTATAAACAACTTTTTATACCATTTAGTTAGCATAAATATTACGACTTAATACATAAATTCTCGAAATAAAGGCACTTTCAAATGATTCAGAAATCATTATGTTAACTACCTGGTGTGAAAAAATATGTAATTTTTTCAATGTAAACGTAAGTTGTAACGCCTAAACATAATAAATAGTGAAATATTGGTATCAAAGTACGTAGAGTGTGTTTCGAATCGAAGAAGATTCGAGTAGGTATAATTGAAAAACGAAATCTCTCAATTTTAGTGAACTTTGGCAGCCAATAAAAATATTTTAGTTACTTTATGCGCTACAATTTTTAACTAACCAACAACAATTGAAAAATTATAAACAAATTTTCAGCCGCTACGACCACTACCTTGACGACACCGACCTGGACTACACGCCACCCCCACCGCGCTACCGACCGCGCTTCTCGTCCGCTGATGTGGACGATATCGAGCCGTCCGCCAGCAGGGTGAGTCAAGTGTACTTTTTAACAGTACACGTTTAGGATATTTTTAACACTACGCAATTTAATACTGTAAATTTAATACTACGAATTTAAGAATGCGTATTTACCAAATACGTAGCACGTATTATGCATTGAATACTACATATTTAGGTTTGGATTATTGCTCATTTAATACTGCGAATTTATTAATGCGTATTTAATTAATACGCAGTACGTATTACGTATTGAATACTACGTACTTAGGTTTAGGATAGTTGCATATTTAAAACTACATAATAACAGAACGCAATGTAAGATACGCACAAATTAAAATTGTGTATTTGACAATTATTCATACTCAAGTTACAACAATTTTTTGTCTGGGCAATCATAATTATTGGTTTATAAATAATGAATATCAGAGATCTTATTAAGACTTGCTGGCCAACCTTATAGAGCTCAAAATTTTGGATGTTTATTTTCACTAAATATTTAACCTTAAGAAGTAAGACTCGAGTTACTCTCCATTTGTTTTTTATGAATATCCTCTAAGTGTTCTCAGTACAAAAATCTCATAGTTTAAACATCATCATTTGTGAATTTATGAGAGTTACACTCAAGATTTCATATGAGTCTTTGTTATTTTATGCACTATGTCAAACAACCTGAAAACTTGTATGTAACAAGAATATAAGAATACGGTGCCCTGTAAACTCAATAATGAAATGTTTCGGCAGACTTAACGATGCTTGCAGACATTCTCATAATAATAATATGCTGTAATATTTCTTTAGATTTTTAGCTAATTTATTTAATTAATGTTAGTTTTCAGTAGGAAAGAGCGAGTTACTCAGTACACAAGCAGCCATAATTCAATTGCTTGCTTTGTGATCAGCTTAAAATCATCAAGAAAGCTCCACTTGGTGCTATGCGATCGATAATGAACAAAAGAACTGTACAGCAAAAAAAGATGCAGTGAGTTTTTTCTTGCAGGCTTCACTTATAGATATTTAATCCAAGCTATCTTAGTCCACACTACGATTAATGTGATATTTATCATACATTAAAACAATTTCACTTCACAAGTGTGCTTACCTGAAGTGAAAAATCTAGATGTCCGTTACCCCCATCACTCTGAGGCATAAATGAATTTTTTGCATGACTGTAATCTCTGCGTGCATGTATACTTATATTAACCCAACAAATCTTCATTCCTTAGTTAATGATTTGTTAAGAAAGTGATTTTTATTGAATATAGAGTCGAGTGTTGAAAGCAGTGTCACACAAAACTTACTAGAAACCTGAACTAAATTCATTGTTCATATTTTCATCACAGTGAAACTATTCAGAAATTTCTTTTGGATATCATGCCTTACTCCTCAACGACTCACTTTTTAATGCAATGAGCTGGGAAAATCTCGATTCTTAAAAAAAAAATGAGTTTTTAGATGAGTCATTAAAATTGTTTTGCTCAATTTGATTGTCTATAAAATTGTAATGTTCGCGACGAATTTTAATGTACAGTGACAAAACGAGGAGATCATTCATTTCCAATTTCTTAATAAATGCATGTTTAAATTCCTGACGGAGGTTGCGGGGACAAAATAACTTTTCCTCAATGTGCATCCAGTTAACGTACCTTGTTGCATAACCGACATCGTGACGTTCTCTTCTATGACGACGGACTTTATTTGGCAGATGCCTACTTTAAAAATTAAATGAACTACATTCATCCAAATATTAAGGATGAATTGAAAAAATTAAATGCTCGAAGGAATTTTTGGCTGTCGATGACAAGGATTTCATTTACAGATGTACAGCCGCACGAGTGTCACACATGACGACACCTCTCCCTATGCCTCCACCCTGTCCACTATCAAAACCACTGACCTCGGCACCCACAGCAATAGCGCTCTTTACCTACCAGACTACACTAGACCTATCATTACCTCTAGCGTTACTAGTACCTCTAGTTCCTTGCCTCAACGACCTGTGAGTAGATATCATTAGTTCTCATATCTAGAAAACGTGAATTTCGTAATAGTGATAGAAATGTCTATAGATGTTGAATCTTTTTCAAGGTAGTTTGAGAATACATAGATAGATATTCTTTCAGTGCTGAGTTGTTTTCCTTAGGAGTATTAGTGTTAGAATTGCTGAGTATTTTGCTAGAATAAATGTCTTAGATATCACGTTTAAACTTGTGAAATAATGAAAGTTGTTTCGTGAATTCTTCTACGCTTAACTCGATCGATATATTTTGGATTCTGTTGCCTCAAATGACACGTATTGCTGATGAATTAGCTGAATTAGCTATGATGCCTATGAGAAACCTGCTCTAGTGTCGTAATGTTCTTCCTCTGGAGGTAAGACTGAACAAATTTCATTTTGATTTGATTTTTTTGCCTCCTTTGAGGTTCCGGTTCAAATTAAGTTAACTAACAAGCAATTGGCGTTATTTCCAATGATTTCAGATTAAATTAGCCACATTTATCAGTTATTTGGGTAATTGTTCTCGGAATTATTTGCTATTCATTTACTTTTGCTTAATTGTACCGCTATCTAGCAGGTTGCTCATTTGGGTTTATTATTTGCACTTATATTATATCACTGATTTTTTCGAGTTTCCGAAACCAAATACAAGGTTATATCTCATTAATTCATAATTTTGGCATCTAACTTTGGATATTTACTTTGTTTAACGAATTTTTCTCGGTTATGTGTATTTATGATTCAACATTATCTGAGTGTTAGCGTCAATCATCATAGGTATTAGAAAATACTTTATACACAAGGTTTATAAACATTATATTATTCTTTTTACTTCTTGGTTCCCCAATCCCTTCTTTGACAAACATTCACAAATGACATTTCTTGGCCTAATGCTGGTTTCTATATGTTTACGAATTAAGTTCAATAAAAAAGCACAATAATTTTCACGAATATTTTTCATAGTCTATTTGAGAAATTATTTTTTCTGTTTACAGCTTATATTATTTCTAATATGTTTTTGTTTACTTTTAATATAATTTATTAATGAAGATAACAATCTTGTCTTGGAATGACGATTAAAATTGACTTATGCCTCATAATTTTTTCGACGTTTTTCTTCTTGTGTCTCTTTGGTAAGCGTTTACGATTTGTGTTGGACGGCTTTTCATTTACACGTAAGTGCTTCTATTATTCTGTTCAAAAAATATCTAGTCTAGCAGTAGAGAGAAAATTCTTGAGCAGCTGGATGTTGAGTAATCTAAATTAATAGTTACTTGTATATTAAAATTTCAAAAATTATTAATGATAAAAAATTTGACATTTTTGACTACTTGTTCGAATGTGAATTAATTGATTTTATGACAATTTTTAAAATGTAATAAGCACTTTTCATTTATTAACGAAATTCTGCATCCAAAATCTCATTTTCTTCATATGCACCCTACAAATTTATGCTCCAAGTTGATGTTTCAACTTTAAAGTCCAAATTGCATTCAGGATCCTCGAATTTTTGATATTTACTAATTTTTTACAAGTTTACTCATGACCTACGCTGAATGGCTTGCCTAACTCGTTCGATTTTTTGACATTTTTTGAAAACTTAGCTGAGGTTAATGCGAAGTTGAAGGATTACTTTTCTGCGCATGATTTTACAAAAATGCATCTAACTAACCACATGTTACAAAATACAAGTTATTTTTATCATTTGAGATAACAAAAATTGTAGTTTATTTTAATGTGAGACAGTAGAAAAATTGTGACTTTTGTGGCTTAATTTTATTTTAGCTACCAGTAAAGTACTTCTGATATTATTTAGATCAAAATTTATACATGCATGAAAATCTTCTTTATTTGCAGATCATACATGCGCTGCACGAGAGTCGTTAGTGGTTGTTATTGAGTCAACGTCTCTGCGTGAAACACGAGAATTTCTTTCCATAACGAGATTTCAGAGTTAAAAATGCAGCGATTACATTATGATGCAATGAAAGAGTATTTCGGCCTGTCAGCATCAATACTCTATCTCCTTCAATATTTAATTTAATCTACATGATGAGCTGCATACATTCAAAATATTATCCAAATTGTGCACTATGTTTTTTGATATCTAAAAATAATGAAAGTAACAGATAGAGCAGTTACGAAAATATGAATCGCGGACTAGATTATGAACACATGCGGATATTGCCTTAATCAATTTTTGAGCGCAGAATTTTAAATCACAAATTTGGTTGCTAGCGTCATATTGTTTTATTTTACCATAGAGGTTTTTAAATTAATTACTTCTAAAGCGGGTTATTAGTCTGCTAAATATCATTTGCGGCGTACTGGAGACAAAATGGATCTTGGATTCATGTGTTTGAAATAAACATGTTTTCAAAATTATTTCGTCTCACCTTGAATAATCGTAGCTGGTTATGAAAATTCTCGTGATTTTCAGAGACGTTATGCATATTTTATTTGAGTCTTAACCAACGCAGTGTCTTGAGAATTGGAGTGACTGATATAAGTTATGGAAAGAATGCTTCAAACTTTGTATTCTAAATTTTTAAATTTCATTAGTGAATGCTACTTTGAAATTCATTCGTTAGGCGAAAAAAATACACTGAAAATGCCATGCATTGTAAAAGAAACTGCAAAAGGCAATATTATTTCGCTAGTGTTCCTATAATTTTATTATTATAATAATAAAATGTCAGTGCGCGGCAAGGCAATGCGTTGGTAAACTAGTCGTCTGAATTTGTGTATATTTTTGCTGATGATGCAAGCTAAGTTGTTTTTCCATACGAATGACTTTCGTTCGTGAAAATTTCACGAATAAAATTTCATTGATAAGTATTTATTTACCACCAATGAGAAGTTTGGCTATTTTACAATTACTTTATTCCATTTTTGTAATACATGGATGACCACTAAGTTGAAGGTCGCAAAAAAGGATGCCGCATATTTTTAAGAACGTGCTGTCCCTAACGAAAAATGAAGATATCATTAGTCATTATCAAGAGATTTTGTTCGAACGAAAACTTTTCTTGTTCTCTAACATTCATCTCTTGGCTTGACGCTGCACAACTGCATACCTGAATCAAATTTAATTGCCATCGAAAAAAATTGTCATTTAATCTGGCAGCGGAGAGATAATTCGAATGAAAGTTATTCGTATGAATATCATTTTATGTTCGTTATAATAACGCTCTCACCGGACGGTGGACACTCGACCAGCCCGATGCAGGTAACAAAGGCGGAGACAGTCTCTCGCACCTCCGACCTCCACCACCCACCAAGCCCCGCAACAGAGACCAGCTTCCGTCCAATATCGGTGAGAGCGAAGGCGACCGCCACCTGGCCCGACTCCAGCATCGCTATCCTAGCCTTTCTGAACCCCAGGCTCTCCAGGACCATGTCGACAAGATGCGCATCAGGCTCAAGACTCTGGCATTCTCCCTGGACCCTTCCGGACCTGTGCCTGAGATCGTCATTCCATCTCGCAGGTGGGCAATGCCTTCAACGCATACTAACCATTTCTCAATTTGGTTCATTTGAATACCCAAAATTGAAATGCAGGTGAAGATTCGAGAGAAGAAGTTTGTTTAGGATGTGATGAGTACAACTTAGTATCAACTTATTATACAACTTAGTAAACGATAATCTTAATTTGGTTATCACAATCTTGTAATTCACTCGCAAGTTTTTTTTCAATTAACGATTTTCAGATTTACAATTAGCGATTGGTATCAATTGTGCAAATATGATTATCACATTGTTATTAAAATTGTATTATCTTATCCTCGTATACAATCATTTTGCAAATTCCCATAACACGGGAATTTTTCCTCGAGAATTGAACTCGAAAGGTTTCATAAAAAGACAGGCAAACTTTTAGCCCATTTGTGCCCATTTGTATCAAATGATAACTTCAATTACTATATTGGGGTTGTGCTTGATCTATTTATGTATCAACCAAAATTTCTTCCACATGTTTAATGACTGTTTATTAAAGAATTACTGATTGATTTGTTTCACAAATTAATAGATAGATGAAAACAAAAGCGTGACTGAGTTCAGACAATCTCTTCAAAAGACTTTAGAGCAGAGCTTGACGGAAAACGTGTTATTGTGGTCTTGTGAAAAATGTTTTAGTATTTTAGTAACTAATGCGAATTTACTGAAGTAAAGCAGAAGGCGATTGTGCATTGCAATCGGTGACAAATTGTACTTCTATTTAATCTAAGCTATTCGTGCGAAATTTAAACAGCTTGTTATTTGCAGGGGCGAAGAATCGACGAAAAAGTACAGCACTCCAGGTAAGTGAAAACTTTTTTGAAATTGGATTAGCCGAATTTTTTCTTTTCATTGTAAGGTATTTCTTGTGAAAATTTTTCCGACATGGAATTTCATCAAATAATATTGAAACAATACTGCAATATAAACTCAACGTCACTACGACCATGGTTATTATTTCAACCATGACTGCGACTATTCTAAACGTGATATTACTTCAATTTATTCAAAAATGTATGTTATATATTTACCCTTCCATATGCTGTCATTAATTCGATGTTCACTTTAAGACTCACATGTTATAATTACCATAGTCTCATTAATACACTTATCTACCATCTTATTTTTTAGAACTACTAAATGGACTATTGTTTCAGAGAAATAAATTTGCTGATCCAGGTCCCAGGCAAACTTTGTTTGCTGTCTCAGGATTCGATTTAATTGCCCTGGATCGCTTTCGATTGGTACTGCATTTGTTTGTTAGTCCTTTCATTACTCAAATTCAGATTCTATAGGTGTGTTATGTAACCGGCATTTCTTCAAGGTACGCTATTCATAATTGGTATTTGACGAATAAAGAATATTTTCGCTAGTCAGTGATTGTATACCAATAAAGTTTCCAGTTTATGCTAATGGTACGCGTTTGCTTTGCAGACAGGTTATTGTCCTCGGCATGAAAGAAATTAATGTTTTCAATGAAAAAGATTTACGTATGAATGCAGGAGTAATTAGGGAAACATTCTAAATAATCGATCCATACGCTTGCTACTTGACCAGCCTTGCATTTCAAGCTGAAAAAATAAACAAAAGTTCACGTGATACCGCGAATAGAGAAAGTGATGGGGAGACATGATCTAGATGTATTTTTATTTGAAGTGTGCAAGAGTAACAATAACCTTCGAAACCTTAATCTTCAATTCGGAGTTTGAGAACCACACGGACCATGAATTCCCGCAATATCACTCACCTGAAGCTTGATAATTATAAACAGTAGCGTTGGGCCGCGCCATAGGCTTTATATCCTCACTATTTCATCACTCAACAGGAGCTTGATAATAATGCAAGGCTGTAGGATAAAGCTCGATGTTGGAGAAGATTTACGCAGGTGGGGTGGTCGCTGGGCCGCGCCATGGGATTTGGATCCTCACTATTTCATCACTCAACAGGAGCTCAATTATAATGCAAAACTGTAGGACAAAGCTCGATGTAGGAGACGATTTACACAGGTGGGGTGGTCGCTGGGCCGCGCCATCTTGCGTGCGTAGAGTTCGCAGGTAGCACCCCTCTTTGGAGGCGTCGCACGAGGGCTCGTAGCCCTGGTAAAGACCCTCACTACCTCGCACAAGTGGCGAGGGAAGTTGCTGAGAATCCCATCATCGTGCCTGGTACGTTCATGGTACCTAGCTGAAGGCATACCTCACGAATTCAATTAGTTAAAAGACTTCTGTTGAAGAATACGGAAGCGTGGACACTTAGAACTTTTATGACAGTACCAAATGACGTTTGGTTTGAAAATGAAGCCACTGGTACTTACTCCTACGATACGAATTGACGTTGCAGAAAATGATAGGATGACGATGAAACGACTGGGTAAAGAATGTTGATGAATGGGAAAGTATGAATCGAGACCACGAGACAGACCAAGTTTATAGGCTCAGTTATTTTTCATTTCTGTGAAACCATCTTTGAGGATTAGAAGACTATTTTAACAACGTGGACTTGCGAAATGGCTTGTGAGTGCTCATTAACTATATACGGGTAAAATTTGCAGAAAAAGTTAAATGTTGTATCTATTTGATTGCCACATATCAAATTAATCGCCCACTTGTGACGACATGATTCCAATAACTGGAAATGCAGCTTCTGTGGCTTTTGGACAGAACTCGTACCTCTGGATGCATGCCATTGATCGAAATGGTTGGTTGGATCGCTTCTTGTAATTATTTAAAAGGTTGTAACGTTGGATATTTTCATTATCGAAATTTGCTGATCGATAAATATTTGCCAAAAATGTCCTCATTGTGATCATACGGGTGGTAATTCATTTTGAGTTCTTAGGAAGGAATGATCTTTGGTGATCTTCGTCTACGGCAAGGTTTGTCTTCTTGCTTTTTAGAATTTGAATTATTTCAGTCTTCACAAGAGTTTTTTATTTGAGCTTGCACCAGCGAACGTATTTATTTTTTTTGCGGTATTAAAGGTCTTATTTATTTTCTTTGATACATGGAATTATCCGGACATATTGTGTTCAAGCCTCAAAAGTTATCCTTTATTTATCTGGGTTTGCTTCTTCTCGATAAGTTAGTTCATTTTTCCTTCGTTCACTCGTAATTTTTTTTATGTAGTTGATTTATCAAACACACAAACTCTAAAACACTGTATGCAAATGATTAATATTACCAACGAAGGTGATCCAGGCTACGAATCTGAGAAAATATATCGTTTTGAAGTGAGTTTGGCTGAAGCCAATTTTAGACGATACAATTTACGCTCTCTATTCGAAAGTAAAAGAGTCCACAGAACAAATCTAGAAGGAATCGTTAATTTAATATAAAAATTTCTAACCCAAATATCCTAAAAATCCCTAATGCGGCTAAATTAAACCGATGAGTTTTAATTGCGCCGGTGGTGGCGGTTTTTTCTAGCCTTGGAATACAGAGAGATCCCCTCACTGAGCGCTCGAAGACCTCGCTATTACCCTGAGGATGAGCACATGAAGGACAATCTCAGAATAAAGTGCCTTTCTCAGTACAAATCCACGAGGACCGCTGCCGGTAAGTTGCGAGTGGCCCTTTTCTTGGGGTGGAATAATCCCTTCCCGGTAAAAGCTAGTTGACTACAACAGCGAAGAGAAAATTCAGGGTAAATTTTAAATGAAAAATCTTCTATGAGTTAGCCTTGAAATGTGCTCGTTGACGAAAATTCGGCGTAAAATTCTATTTAAAATAATTTTTGTCTAACCTTTGATGGATAAGATCGCCGAGAAAAATAGACAATTCGAAAAAGAAGCTGTTGCAGTAACTTATAGCGACCCGGTAGTAAAATAGTGGTTTCCCTTTAGGAAGATTAGGGCTGTGATTTATTTCAGTAGCGATTAGCATTTGCTACTTCCAAGATTTATCTTTGTTAAATAGCTGCTTAGCACTGTGCCAAGCTTGAGAGATGTTCAAAATATTATTTTGTCGTGATGCACGGTAGCTTTAAGTAGATAGGGTAGCGTGCTAAAGAAAAAAACGAATGCACTAATGGGATTTGCGATTATGTTGTAATCAACTAAAAAAAATGCTATAGTGCCCAAAAAAATCAATTGACAAGCTGTTAATTCCAGATAATTCACCAACGAAATGTATAAAATATAACGCAAATTGAAAGTTTAATGGCGTGGAAAGTTGTTTTTCCTCCACATATTCGGTTAATTATCGACACACAAGACCTTCCCTACTAGATCATACAACCTACACAATATTACAAACTCTAACACACTTCTTAACTGCAGTTTCTTTTGTGTTCTGTTTGCTACTGGGTTTAGTTATACATGAATTTTATTTGTGTTTCCTTCTAGCGATGATAAATTTGTTTATGTGTGATTACCGCAGCGTACTTTTTAATGCATGATTCTTAAGGTATAGTTTTTTATTGTTTAAGTACCATCATAGTCTATATTCATTAGTGTAATTAGTACCCAATTATTTACTTTTTGTACATTTATTTGCAATTAACTTCCTCATTAATTCTTCTTCGCCGTAGCTACCGTTCTTCTGCAGTCGTTGTTTGAACGTTTTTTGGGATCAAGAAAAGAGGTATCATCAGCAAACCTTTCTTTCTGATTCCAATGTGAATTTACAAAGTGGGAATCCGTTTATTTTTCGTATTGTAACTGAAACCACAATTTTCCCATAGGGTGTAACAAGTAAAATGCCAAACTACAAAAGGAAGAATCTAGCTTCATATTCAAATCATTGGGATACTACATGTACATAATATTCATACGTATATAGTTTTGCGTAAACTTTCATCCATTATATACATCACACGAATGGGATAAGTGTTTTGTAATAATGGCGTAAGATACACTATTTTTCAATCGAAATTGGCATAAGAGTAGACGAACGTGAATTCAATATTTCTTAACGAGTATGTTCTGATTTTGTCCGAATATTGCTGGGAGGTTGATGGAAGTTGCTTTACATGTAGTCTGTCTAATCGTTCGATCGGACGTCGCACCAAGCCTTCAAAGCAACGCCAGAAAAAAAAAGATACATCAAGTGGTGGACAGTTAAAATTCTTCTCTATGGACATGACTGAACAATTCCCGGACATTTAAACGTTACTTTTCATAGACTGGGCAAGAGTGCTGCAAATGCGCGATTCGACACAGCGAGTGGACTTAGTGACTTATAAGATGACTTATGAATCCTGCTAGGAAATTTCATTGTATTCTTGTCGTCCTTTCATCCATATCCCTGTTAACTGCTATAAAAAGCTATGTCCGAAATTTATGTGATATTATTATAAATATTGACTGGATATAATTCTATTCAATTAATACTTACCCTTCTACCCTTATCGTTGCATTTACATTTTCCTCTGGTGCACTTCATTCGTTAATGGAAACAAACTTGAAAAAAATTAATTACTTGTACATTAATGGTTCTCCAGACCCATGCTTAACGCAACAATTTATTCTTCACGAGTCAATTTCTCGGCTTTTATGCCACGTCTATTGAAATATCACTCAATATGAAATCTTTATCATCAATCCTATTGTGCTGTACATGTGACATTTTTCGTAGGTTACCAATAATCCTCTTGTCCTCTACATGTGACTATTCATCATACCATCGTTACCAAATAACCTCGCTGTTATTGACGAGCTAAATAATACAGAGGTAGCCCCTGAAAAGCTACTCATCAGAGACCGACTTTCGATGAAAATCCACCAGTATCTGAGCGACACTCTGCCGCCCGAGAAGTTCGACACATACCTCAAGAACTACCGGCAGCCTGACCAGAAAACGCACTGTGAGTTCGGGTGATAAACAATCAACTCGTAGACCGGTATTCATAAATATATTAGGCATCCGTGTATCTTACACTTTGTTACTATAATTCTGGAATATGAATTACATAATTAGAAAAGTCAGCAACAGAAACAGAATATATTTCACTAATTTTCTCACAGCTTTAATATAATTTCAGTACATAAGAAAAAGAAAATTAACAATTGATCTTACACTTTTGTAATGGTATCTCTTGGTTAAACTACCATTCATCGTTACATGTTAGGTAACAATTTGATTGGGTAAAGGATTTTACCTTTGATTCTATCGTGAAAAATTTCATTCCATCATATTATGCACTATTCTTATTATAATTTTATAAGTAATGATGATTATTTATAATGCTATTTCTGTACTTTGTGGCCGTTTATTTATTTTCTTCCGAGTATGCAGAATTGTTCAATAACAGTACTATAATATAATAATTAATATAATAAATAAATAAAAAAATGTGTTATAAGAGATGCACATTTCGAGATTTGCAACAATCAATTTATTTTTTTTAATTATCTGCGCGGAAGTAATTTTTTAAATGCAAAAAAATGGTGTGCCCGGCATTGAATAATATAATAAGTGACGGTAGTTTCGCGATGCGTTCCTTACCTAATGCAAAAGTTTTGTAACTAACGCTTGAAAATACGCAATATACCTATAATTTAAGTATTCTGTAAATATATTTAACAAGACATTTCGTACTTTGTCCTTGCCTGTTTAATACCTTATATTCCAACACACCTCAAATCCTGAGGATTCACAACTGAAAATCAGAACATAGAAGTGGATGAATATTCATAGTGATAAATTTCTGGATCACACCTTAGTAGTGCATTCGTTTTTTCGAAAATAATTAAATAATAATATTTACAATACAATTGGTATTATCCTAGACGCGTTTAGCTGCAAATTCAGTTTCCCTACAATAACCTAATGTTCAACATTGATTTTTCTAAATTGTAATCTTTCTTCTGAGTAACACGGCCTAAGTTCGGCCATCTTGAACTATTAATTAAGAGTGATTATACTTTTCCTCTGGAAAATTGGTTGAACATTTAATTTCAGTATCAAAATAATTAAAAGACCTGTCCATGTCAGATCTAAAGAGGAAAAAAAATTAATTTCACATCTGATTGACCATTGTTATTTATTAGTTGTTTAGTGACATAAACCTAGGAATAAACTGTACTGCAAGGATGTTAATTTTCGTGCTAATATTTAGCGTTAGTAATTGATAATTTCGATGAAACATCTTAAACACGAATTTTCATTCGTTAGAGAAGCGGTGGGCAAAAGCACTGCACTGGTCGCCATTGATATTGTCTGTTGCAAATGCATGGAAGAATAATATGTGCGAGTGAAGATCTTAATATCACTGGCCAATATCATCATGGTGGCTAGTGGGTAGCTTCATTGGATTCGAAACTGAATTGCAATTAAACGCCGATGAGTTTTTGCTCATCAGTGGTTTCTGGATACATTTAGATTAAGGATTTTACCCGCTTTACATTATATATTACATTTTACTACAATGTTGATGGTAGAAAATTTTAAACGTTTACATTTCATGGAATCTGACATACACTGAACAGTACGGAGAGCCGCTTTCATTCTATTCAAGCTCACTGATCTATATTGACTAGAGTATTGATAAAAATTTTCGATTTCCAGACGCTACCTATCGCAGTGGTAAGTTGGGAAAAATTTTTTGTTCCTATATTTTTGTCCTATTTACTCTCTGTGATTTACGTTGTTTCTACATGAACACAAAATACTTATCGTGTGACTATAAATACGATGGACTGCATATAAGTCATTACTGGAATAGAAATCTTCTTCAGAACATGACGGTTCTTCAAAAAAGTTTAAGGAGCTCAAATATCCCATTATTCATGTTATCAATGACATGGTTAAGATAAAGCTTGATTATGAACGCCATATTGAATTATCGGAAAAATGGCATTTTTTAACACCCATATTTACCGATATTCCATAGTGGCCGATCGACTGTTGACCTTTTGTGTACAGGTTCGAAAAGCGCTATCCTGGACACTTGTTAGGCTTATTATTTTATTTATTTATTTATTTTATCGCTTTAATTGTTATTTTTCAGGATACTACAAGCCTAAGCTCTATGCTCCTGGTCGGTAATTCTATTCCTATATTGCCCTAAGTTTATCTTCCTACTTTACGCAAGTGTGCAAAATTTCAGATCGATAGGATAAGTAGAAGTGTGTTAAATTTCGATTATAAGATTTGTAGCAGACAGACAGACAAACAGACAAACAAGAAGTGAAGTTAAAGAGAAGTGATGTAAAATGAGGCAAATTGCGGAAATATTTTCTTTTACATTGTATGAAAAAAGACTCTCTCGCTAGTCGTGATTTTAGTACGCTCACTATTATCACTATCACGTAGAATCATATATAATATTACGCATAATTTTAAAGTTGACGAAGAAATTTCAAAATTCTACAGTCACCAAGCAGATAAATTTTCCATAATCAACATAATTCTAAATATTAACTTTCAGAATTTTTTAAGTTGAACATAAACATTATTGTACATATTCTAAACTCGACATGCTTGTTGAACACCGGTAAAATGAATCCACTTTTGAAATCAGTTCAATCATTTTTAAGGTTATTCTTGCAATAAAAAACAAATTGATTGTCTGCAATAGGAACGTTTAAATACTTACATGAATACTTCATATGAACTAGTTCATTCACATTGATGGTTGTTCGTCCAATAAAATAACTGTTGATTGTCTGCAATGAGTACGTTTGAATAAGTGAATACTTCATATTGTTCTCATATCGCGCAGGCCATCACAGAGTCGGAGGCTGTCGAGCCTGACGTGTCGGAGGAGCGCAAAGAGCGACGTAAGAAGANGCATCCTCTTGGACCTGTCTCTTATACACATCTAGATGTGTATAAGAGACGAATGTTACTGTGTTTTAAGCTCACAACTACCATCATTTGGAAGGTTGAGATTCTTTAGAAAGGCCCATTTCAAGCATTCCAAATATATTTATCAAATTGTTGCAAATTGTTTTTGTCGACGATTTTTGATTGTTATTGATTTTTTCTACATTCAAGGTTTCATAACAACTCATCAATTAATTGGGCAATTCATTTAACAATTCATCACAGTTATACTAACCCATCTGTTTGTATGCATGTAATACTTTCTCTGATTTATCACAAATTTGTTTTGAATTTACGATAATTGACGCGGCACCGGTGAGTTAAAATAGACTTTTTTATTATTGAAGAACTTTTCTGCTTGATTTTTTCTGTCCTAAATTCTGCATAAGTTATGCATAAGTTTAATTTATTCCAGAGCAAGAGTGCTGTGAAAGTTCCTTTGTCGTGGCAGTTTTATTGCCTTCCAAACTTTATTAGGCAAATATTGGAATCTAATGAAACTTTGGGAAAAATTAATAATTGATTTCCCAAATCAGATGGGAAAATTTGACGAAATTTTTTATGATTACCAAACCTTCGAATATTTCTGCGATGTAATTTAATATGAAACACATCAAATGTTTTCGTACAAAATATAACCACGCAAATAAGCTTATGCTTATATTTGGTGCTTATTATATTGATTTTCTTTCCATAACAAATTAGTAAGTAGCATAATTGTTTTTTATCGAACAGAAAACTTTCAAAACGCTATTATATCATAACGGTTACCATAAAATTCATATGATTTACCTTATATATCTTCATTTGCTGAAAATTTATGTTTCTTGTTATCTTGGTTCATTTTATGTTCATAAATATTCAATTTTTGTTTCTTTTCATTAGCCGAATAATCTGCATAGTCTCCCTGTCTCTTCTCCTATCGGCACGCCTGCTCTCATGTAAGTATCGCTAACGCCCCTACAGCCGCACTATCAAAACTCGTTTAAGTGCATGTAGTGGCCCAAGTACAGAGTGATTCACGGAAACTTCCTGTTTTGTGTTTCGCGCCAAGCTACCAGATGTAGGAAAAGGGCGGAAAGCATTTCGTATAAAAGGCAAGGTCATGAAGTTTTGTGTCCCGCCTATTCAAGTTGCCACTATGCATTGGACAAGTGAGCAACGTGCGTTTGCTGTCGACGCGTACTTTTTTTAATGACCGTTCCATTGTCGTTACTCAACAAGCACTCCGTACTTGGTTCCGTATTCGTCCTTAAAGTCGGGTTCCTGATCGGCTCTGAACTTGATCGGGTTCCGAATAGGCTCGGTTTGATTTTTTATGAGGCTATCTTGAATCAATTGTTTACAATGACTGTCCAAGGACCCTACCTGATTTGAAGAACAACATACTCCAAGCCATCACCAACATACCCTTGAATGTGCAACGGCGAGTTGAACGGAACTTCAAAAATCTACTAAATGAATGCATTGGCAATGGAGGCCGTCATTTGTCTTCTGTAATTTTTAAAACTAAGTGATTCAGATAATGTCTTTTTCAAACAAATTTATATTGCAATGATAAGTTTATTATTTATTTTTTAATGAGATTTCAAATCATGAAGTTTCCCTAAATCACCCTGTACATTTAGCGGCCGATTTCACGTCTGTTATTTGTGGTCATGAAACTCCGTCTGTGATTGGCTGATGGAGTTACGAATTCTTAACTATTTTTGATAGTATGGCCCAGCGTGTGTTCATCCCTGGCCTCTCAAATACTGTGCGTCAGTCCTGCTCACGTGTTACGGAAAATCTGTGCAATTAGTTGACATGTGTATGATAGTACGAGAAATTGCGCAACTTGACTTGATATTATTTGTTTATTGCAGCATTGTGTGCCCATGCATGCCTTCGTATAACTTGGAGGAGTATTGAACGAGCTGTCGAAGACTCATTGAAAGACTTAGAAGCATTGACTGATTTTAGAATCATTTACTGTCTTAGAAGCATTGACTGATTTTAGAAGCATTGACTGTGATTTTAGAATCATTTACTGACTTAGACGCATTGACTGATTTTTGAAGCATTGACTGATTTTAAAATCATTTACTGACTTAGAAGCATTGACTGACTTTAGAAGCATTGACTGACTAAGAAGCACTGACTAATTTTAGAATCATTTACTGCCTTAGAAGCATTGACTGATTATAGAATCATTGACTGATTTTAGAATCATTGACTGATTTTTTAATCATTGACTGATTTTTGAATCATTGACTGATTTTTGAATCATTGACTGATTTTTGAATNCATTGAACAAGTTTAGAATCATTGACTGATTTTAGAAACATTGACGGATTTTCTGCTATCCATTTTGCGTGTCTTGAAAATAAGTCGCTTAAAATATTATAAATAAAATTATATCATAATTATGATGCACGTAAAAAATGAATGTTACACATTTTGATGTATTCAAAAATCATGAACAACTTGACTCAGAGTTGTATGAACTTGCTTTGTGTGTTTTTGTAAAGAATGTAAAATTGTGGTTTTATATAAAATGTTTCGTAATATTCCAACCTGAGTTGGCATTAAACCTTTCATCAGACAGATGAGCGGGAACTTCATTAATTTTAAATTACCTTCATTTGACTTATTGAAATTTTAGAAAAAAAAACAAGAATTTGTTTAATGTAAAAACGTTTCATTTGACCCGCAACATCATTTTTCACAAAGAAAAAATATTATGCTTGGAAACAAAATTTCTTTTCCCCGCATCTGATGAAAGGGTAACAGTCATCCGAGTTCATTAGGCACTAATAATCAACTTCATATTTACTTCATATTTTCATATGCATATATGACCTGAAGTGAGGTGTGGTTTTTAAATAATATATCACCATTATCCGACATGCAGTTTTCGTTCTTATTTTCTCGTTAAGTTACTTGCTTATCTTCTTTCTAGTGCTGTGTGCTCGAGATAAAAAGTTTTAAAAAATTTCAAAGTATTAATATTTATGATAAAAACTTCATAATCACCGTCTATAAATAACGTCGCCGGAATCTATGGAAAAACAAATTTCAGAAGCTATTTCAAATTACCGTTCGAAGTTCACATCTAATTATTTTTTATAGGTTTCATTACATTACTCTCCTGCTCACATTTATTGTCTTCCTAGTCGCTTTCCTGTTTCGAAATTATTCTCTCGGTATTCAATAACAAAACAATTAATTTTTCAAATTTACGTATCGTTCCCGAAAAAATTGAGTCAAATAACTTCACCACTACTGCGATCCATAATCAGGAAAAGCAATTGACATTGTGAACTGTTTCTCTCTAGCATCGAGGTTAAATTTCAAAAGATAAACTTATCGAAATAAACAAAAACTTAATATTACTGTTAAGTATGAGTTCATAAAATCATCTTTCATCAGTATTTACATATAATTGCCTGGGATCTAGCTTGTCTGAAACAAAAGTCAGAGAAAATTTGCTTGAAATTGTCCAATTGCAAAAACGTAAATATTAATTTCGAATATCTATATATTTTTCGATGAGTAAGCTAAAGAGATTATGGCAATATAGGACTTGAATTAATAATATTATTATGATGAATTCAATATTATTAATGGGTAAAATTTGATGTCGAATAATAGTATTGGAAATGCATTTAAAAAACAATTTCTACCATGTTTGAGAGGTAAAAAATTTTTATTTTTGCAGGAATTTCTGCTTCTGTCGACGTCTCCGCTGATGCTGCCGATGGTACTAAGCGCATTGCTCAGGCAGCTTATGATGAAGAATACGAGACCCAGCAACCTTTGATTGAATCACCAACACCAGAGGCACCGCAAAGTCCCGTAGAGCAGGTGACTCTGCCTTTAAGGTCCCGTAGTTCAGATAAACCATTCGAAGGTGAGCAGCAGACTGCAGGAGAAGTGGATGTTGAGGCTGAAGAAGAGCAGGTTGTTCGTGAGGAGGAGAAAGTGGTAGAGCTGCGAGGAGACGACACTGAAAAGGTGGTAGAAGAAGAGGTGGGGGTTGTTGTGCAGGGAGTTGACAAAGAAGTGGCTACTGGTGAACAAGAAGCTGTACCTGGAGAGGATGAGGAATATGAATACGAAGAGATCGAAGTTGAGGAAGAGGTTCCTGAAGAAGCCAGTCCCCAGGGGGCTGTTATCACCGGAGAAGAAGAAGATTTTTGGGCAAACGATGAAAATTCTGCAGGTAATGCCGGAGCTTCAGAAGTGGTTGAAGTTGAGGAGATTCAAGAGTAATAATTGAGGGGTGGACATTTTGAAGAAATCAATCATTACAGAGACTATGAACTAGGCAAATGAGATGTTGTCTTCAGAGAAGAATTATTATATCAGTGAAAATGCCGTTGAACTCAGTCATTCAAATTTATCACAAGAAGCTTGTGCGGTAACAAAACTTGTAAGGCACAACACAAAATATTTAGAAAAATTCCCCAAATATAAAACTCTCAATTACAAATTCTTCAAATTTAAAAAATACATTTCAAAATAAATATTTAGAATTTTATCCATAAAGTATAAGAACATTTATAATAGTCAAAGCTGTTCAAAGGTCTTGTGTACAGGGAACATTGTTAAATCAACATGGAAATGTTATAATGGATTTGGAATAGAATTTTAACGAAAAATGTTGGTGACTTACTTCGTTTAAAATTTCGAGACAAGCATGAACTTTTCGAGACAGCTGGTGAAGTTCGTCTGGCACCAGCATCAATTGGTAGGTCAATATTAATTATAAATGTTTCACGTTGCTGTGAAGAAATCTGTACCTTTCATAATTTTTATTCCTAATCAGTTTTGCCAGCTTTATGGGGTTTGTTTCGAAGAGAGAAAATAATTTTTGAATCTAACGAGTCTAATTAAGAGAGGCATGACTAATTTTAAAACATTGCCATGTCCTCCGATGTACAGAATGATGGTATAAATTCGTTAGGTGTATGTTTTTAATCATTTATATTCAACGTTTGCAACATCCACACATTATGAGTCACAACTTATCATCATGTTGAGCCTCAAGGCCTACCTGCTTTGAGCATAAATGTCTTTAAAGCATGAATGCAAACATGTCTTGTATGCTTTCTGAAATTAAGGATAAGCTCTATTATGACCAGGGCACAAGCGTTTTTTTATTCATCTTTTTCATAAATTAATGAGTAAACCAATTCCTGATCCAGAGCTGATGCATCTTTATGAGTTACATTAATTATCGTTATAAGTCAAGGATAACAGCGTGGAAATGATTGTCGTGGATCAGTGGATTTCAGAGACCTTCGAATCATTTTTAGAATGAAGTTCCCATGTCATGTTTCCCTATTTCCTAATGAACAATGTCCTAATGTAGATGTCCTCTGTTTGTGTGAGCCGTTTTTAACTCATATAGGTGTAGGCGTCTATGCTAATAAGAAGTTTCTGCCTTAGGAAAACCTCCTGAAGTGTCAACCTATGCCTTGTAAAGTATGGCATGAGATTAAAATTAATAATTTTCAATATTACCCCGATCCAACCTGAATTATTTCAGGATCTGGGAAAATAAAAGCAGGTGGAATAAAAAACTGGTATGCATAAACTTCTTTCCTTATGATATTAGGAGGGGCAGACAGGAGTTTCAGCCTTCAAATAATCGGTGTTTTCGCGATAGTAAAGATGTTTGTTATTCTTTTGTTGTTGTGCTATTGATGTAGTAGCGTCGCCCATTGATGGGAAATTCTTGAAGAAACATCAATAATCGAATAAAAATCCACTTAAGTATTGGTTTCATTTCCCAACAGCTATTCTGCCCAGTGAAGATCAGATCTCTCATTAGCAGCTTCGATATTCGATAAAAATTTAGGAATTACTTCATAGAAAATAATCTTAGAGTTACCGAGTGCTGCAAATTCTGGTCGGAATGGGCAAGGGCATTAAAATCAAAATTAAAATTCCATAGGCAATTTACTTAAAGAAGCATCATTTTCTCCAAATTTTGAGCTATAATACTGAGAGTTTTTGCTAAATTTACGGGTTGAACATATTATAATCATAATTGGGTGGCTAAGAATCGGCGACAGGCCAACATGGCCTGATTAAAAGCTTAAATAATTAAACTTTTTTTTATAGCCCCAATGTTGTAGATTTTTTTTCATAAACTGCAATGTCATGTTTCAGCTCAATTTATTATACGGTTGAAACATAGATTTTTGTGAAAATTTATTTTTTGAAAATTATACATAGTTACGGAAACGTAGGAATAATGATCGAACGACAACATTTTAAACTATATCTATTCGAAGCCTTGACCTCATCATACAAGTACGCTTTTGTTAGTATTTCGTGAGAAAATTATCAGTGTCCATAATATAGCATTGCATTTTTGCCGACAAAAGCTCTTATACTTCGATTCCGCTGACTTACATGGGCATTATTTAACAATTAATTTGTAGAACAGCAAATTATAGGAGTATTTTTGTGCTAGTGAAAATCATTGAATTGAATCAATGCATGATAACAATTGATAAAGTAGAGATTTAATTCCATGATGAAATCGCAAGAAGATGCTAAGCTTCCAACTCTTCTTGCAATCTCATCGTTCCAAAACTTGTGGACATTATATGATCTTATTATCTGCCACAAATTATCAATTTTTACCCAAGCTTCCTCTCATTAGCGACTATACGGTAAATTTTGACCGGCACATGTGACTCATTATACACAAAAAGGGCAGACTCAGCGTCCAGCGTGGCTTGGTAAACAATTGAGTAAGATAAATTTTCAGCTTTCAAAGCAGCAAAAAATTCCAGAATAGTTTCGGGATCTCTCCTCGTGCAAGCTATGAAAGCCTCCTTTGTGCTTCCGTTACAGCAAGATCTTGCATCTTCTGGTGGCAGAGGCGACATCACATCGCAATTACACTCCGTCCTCGTCAGAAGCTGACTGGAAAATGTAAACATATCGGGCGTTCAGCGATTTTTTTAAATTAATTAAACTAAACACATATAAATCATGAGTACTCCTCATCAATATTTTTCTCATCACATCGCTATTACACTCCGTCCTCGTCAGAAGCTGACTGGAAAATGCAAACATATAGGGCGTTCAGCGATTTTTTTTTAAATTAATTAAACTAAACACATATAAAACATGAGTATTCCTCATCGATATTTTTCTGTTAAATTCTGGTAAGAAATCTGTTTGAACAAACTAACTTTTGATTCCGGACTTCCTTATTACGAGTATAATAAAAATGTACAATACTTTGTATGTAAATTATTCTAGGGAATGAATATGACTCAATTAACAAGTAGCAAATACGTACCTGATGAGACGAGCTAGCGGTACCAGCAGATGACGTGCGTAGACGACGTCAGTTGCCAGGACCACGTCGCTGTGAGGCAGCGATGACACGTCTGGACGTTGCCAGTCCAGTTGCATCACCTTAGCAAAATTAAATATAAATTATTTGGGCCAATAATCACACCGGGAATTAAGTATAAATTACTCGAGCCCGCAATTACATCATTACAATCAAATCTGAAACAAAATATAACAAAATATAAGGTTGCTAATCAGACCGAATGTAAATATAAATTATTTGAGCCCGCAATCAGTTCGGAAGGAAATTTAAATAATATGGGCGGCAATCAGATAATATATTCGAATATAAATTATTTTAGCGGTATAATCAGGCCGGAAATTTATTCGAGTGGTGTCAGACCGGAAATGATATTTTTGTCCATCGAAGATATTTGCAGACAATGATATTTTGTTCATCGACCGGCAATGATATTTTGTTCATCGACCGGCAATGATATTTTTTGTTGTTCTGCATCACAGTTTATGATTGTTTACTGTAATTGTGTACTTTGGTTTAAATAAGTACTGCATCAGAGGCGTTGAGTTGTCAACGTTCTTGTTTACTTTGGTTTGAACGCCTCTGAGGCTGAGGCAAGGGAGGCGTGAAGTCCAGGGTAGCGCTGACGCCTCGCCAGGAGGCAGCTCGTCAGCTGAAAGCCGCTGACTCTGCAGCTCGCAGTGAGCTGACAACGCGCCCACACTCGGCATCTGACCGCAGCTCAAGCAATATTAGTTATGATATTATTGATATTACTTTAACATGATCCACGACTCTTACCATTTTACAACATGACTCTTACAATTTTCTCTATAGCTAATAATTACAAATAATTGTACCGCAGAATTGCATAGTCAAGAAAATATCCTCGAGTCAAATCTATCATGCTATTTTCCCATTATTTAATTATCACATACAATCGAGTAAATCGAGAGTCAACACCTACAGCAAATGAAATTTTTACCATAGGAAATTCATCGGAAACCATTAAAACTACTAAATTCGCTGTGCAAGAATAAAATTAACATGTTTTTCGAGTTTGTTGGAGATCAGAGTTCATTCTCGACAGTTATCGGTTAATTACCTAATTTGAAACGACTGAAGCTACATCGAAAAAATCAATACAGTCATTGCTATTGTGTAAAATTAATATTATTCTGAATTTTTTTGGAGATTTTTAAATAATAATTTAAACTAATGATATTTCTGTGCAATGATAAAGAAAGTTTTTATTTTGAATTTTTTTGGAAACTGTTATATAATAATTTACACTATTGAAATTTCTGTGCAATGATAAAGAAAGTTTTAAACTCACAAATCGTTCGTCGGTCAAGACGAGGTTATGGAGGAGCAGGTCCAGCACGTGTGGGTGACAATCGGTCGCCGTGTACGCGATGATCCCGCAATTGTCGTCGTATTCTTTATTTTCTTTTGGAAATTCAGGAACTACATTTTGAACTTGAGATCTCTCGTCTATAGTACTTTGGAAGTCCATTGCTTTGATTTTCGAGTCGAGGTTGCTGGTAATTACTAATTCGCTCGCGTGGTTTCCAGTTTCATTTCTAATTTTGTATCCGCTATTTTTGTTGTCCGAGTCGCGGATGTTTGATTTAGGCTTGGAACCTCTTTTGTGTGCCATGTATTTTGATGAAATTAACGTTTCTGGTATATCTGTAAACTCGAGATTTGATTCGTGGTCATCATCAATAGTTATTGTTTGTTTTCGGTATACTTCTTTGCTTTGATTTGTGCTGATGGGCATTTGTTTATCAGCACAAATTGAATTATGTCGGGGAAATCTTTTGATAATTGAAGCCGCCAGATATCCAACGCCTGCACCGATTTCCAGAATCCGCTTCCCTCGCACCACCTGTCGTGGAAAAATCTCTATAATATGCTTGTGAAATTTTAGTAAAGTAGTTATTTAAAGAAATTATTGTTAGAAATGTGTAACTGGATTCTTGTCATACAGATACCATATATATTTACAAATTTTGAACATTTTTACCCATGACGTCCTATTGGAGAAAGAATTTGTAGCGGTAGCGGTAGCGCCGCTACATTTCCAAGTAGCGCTGCCCAGCTCTGTTGATATCTGTGGTCTGTCATCGGTTGTACAATAAAGCTGTCTGATACCTTTAGTGTGAAATCGGTTTTAAACAAATTATATGAGTCTCAATATTTATATTTTTTTATTTTATCGGTTAGAAATTTAGTCTAAAATTCAACACACGTCGAAGTCATTTTATCAAATTGCGGCCAAAAATGTCGTTCATGACCTACTTCTGAAGTTTGGTTCATCAAAAATGATCGAATACCATACTTTAATCTAAGGATTTCATACTGTCTCACATTTAAGCTAGGGATAAACTATTTGTTTTCAGCAATAGAAAATTTTCATCAATAATCAAAATTAATTTTTTTATTATTAGTGGATATAAATCACATAACCTTACGAAATCAGAAATTTTTGCCTATAAAAATCCGTACACATTTTTTGATAAAGCTCAAAAAAAGAATGATTCTCTGAAAATAAAATAAACTCAAACCCTCTAAACCATTGCCAAGATCTGTTGCCACGAAACTATTGCCACGGACATTTCTTTTCATCAGTTAGGAGAATAAACATCGATAAACATCCCCTTCTTGTTGGGGTAAAATTAAATATTCCTTTTTTCGACTTGAAGCGAACATATATGATCCTTAAGTAAAAAAATCATTCATAATAAAAATTTACGCTTGTGTGGATTTTGGTTAACTTTTGCTGTTCTTGATTGTTTATTAATTGTGTACGTAGTTCATGTTGATATTTGATTTGACTTCAAAAATGATGTCTTAACTTGTGTTTCTTCATAAAATGTATGTTTTTAACAACAAATTGTTTTGTTTCTCGAGTCGAACTCAAAACACATTCTTGTCGGTCTCGTATTTAACAATTGGAATGAGGCTCAATTACAAAAAATTTGTACGAATTAACTAATGCAATAATTCGCTGATTTGCTCGTGACCAAGTTACATCATAATTTCCAAGATTTTACATTTCACTCTGATTATTGTCAATGCTTAGCGAACTATTCTCACACTAGTTATTTATATTCCCCAAGACTAAAGTATGAAAACTTCAACTATGCATATCAGGGAGAATATCAAAATATTGCATTGACATATTTTTCAACTACCAAACAAAGGTTCTTCTTATCTACCGACACGTCATGGTAGGGACAACAGCTGAGCAGCAACTGGGCTATGGGACTGGCGCTCACACCCGTTGGGTCTTGAGGCCAAACTTCAACAGAAATCACATTAATTGGCGTAACTATTACTAATTAGGAGACAAACCGGTAATAAACAGTTACAATTTATTATTATAACAAAGCCTGATTTCGACTTGTTCCAGACAACAACGATGCTATGAAAATTTCGATGCTATGATCTCACTTCGAGCTTTTTGTTTTCTGAGCTTTTGATTAAGATCAAAGATTCGCATCTCCGATCGCATGACCTTGCAAGTAATATATGGGCAAACTAATATTCAGAAAGTGAGTGCAACCCATAACCATATGCTTACGGTTAAAGTTGAGGAGACTCTCCCTCAAGATCTTGTACTAAACAGAAGGACAGAGAGCAAGAATGTGAAATTTTTCTATGATAATCTTGTATATTAATCCACGTCATTTTCAACATAATATCCGCTCTATGCTTAAAACTACCGCCGAACGTCAAGGCCTTTATCTTGGCAGATGCGATGCCCTTGCTAAGGTCCTTGCCCGATCCCATGACCTTGCAAGTGATAGATGTGTAAGCAAACACACTCAAACCATCTATCGTCGTCACTCTATTGTCATCCGGTGTCCACGACAGCGAATCTTGGCAACGAAAAGTCGTCGCTAAACACAACACAGGCGCCTTGCCAACTTTACGGTCACTCTTACTGATGTTCTGTCTCTCAAGATAATCATATCATGCGTTTGTACTCGAATCTCATTACAATGCTATACATTTGTACTCGAATCTCGTAACAACGTTATTCGTGAGATTTGCATCATTAAAGGTGGAATGATTAATCAGTGATCTTAGTGACTTGCTTGATCACTCAGATTATTTAATGGATAAGGTGGTTCATAGGTAATTAAACAGATAGTAACGAAGTAACCTAAAATAATTTTAATTATTATACAATATTTTTCATATAAATTAAGCATTTTTTGTTAATATAATAAAATAGCACTGAAAACTGGTGAGATTTTTCACTATAAATGAATTCATTACCTGCATGGGACCTAAAATATTGGTGTACAAAATCAAATACAAAAATCTGACATGTATACGATGCACTCGTCAGATCTAGGCCATGTTACTCGGGCCGAATTTTAAGCAAGCTCATAAACATAAGCAAATATTTTGCATACACCTGCTCGTCGTCATTATACAGTATAAACATTTCATTCGTTTCTTGCGTCGGATGTGCCGGAACTGATGAGTCACATCCGACGGAACTGATGAGACACAAATAGGCTTGACCACGGTTGAACTAGTATAAGGTTGACCCATGAGAAGCTTATTTTCGCGGATGTAGTTCGTTGTTCGCCTGTGACCTCACAAGCATTAACCAATCACCGATATGCGATCAAACCAGTCAACCAATTCGTCTTGAGAATGACGGGTTTGTTTATGTTTCTCGATCTACGTGACGTAACAAGATAGCTGAACTGAAAGGCGGAACTTCTCGTGGGTCAACCTTATATAGTTCAACCATGGGCTTAACGACCTGATTGCCGCCGGTCTGACAACAGAGCGTAATCCGGTCATTTATTCGTCTACCTAAAACTTGAACTGTAAATTTTTAAACTGTAAATTTATTTATAAACTGTTAAAAGTCAATAAAGCTGTAAATTTATTCGAACACTAAGTAATCAAGAAGCTAGTTTCACTGTTAATTTATACGCATCATAATTCTTATTAAGTACCTGGCTCTGTTAATTTATTTGCATGCTGAATACTCAAGATTAGTTGCTCTGTTAATTCATCGGCATGCCGTAAACTCGATAAGATACGTATAATGTATACTCATTTGCTCATTGAATGCTCGTTCGAATAGTTTGAAAGTTTATTCTGTTCAATTAAATCATCACAGAAGCCCACACAGAGCGTCCTCATTTACTAACTATAATGTTTTAAGACATTAATATGGCCATCGTTTGTTTTTCCGTCCAGAATCGCTGCTCTAACATTAGAGGCACCAAAATAATATTAGCAATTATTTAAATTGTGTAATAATGTCACTAGATTGCTTGAACCGCAAATTCACTAGAAATTTAAAAGCGAATAAAACTCCACAAAAATTCAGCATTTCTCTATTGAAAACGTTTCGGAGACCAGCTCCATCGTCATTACGATATATCTAGAACACAAGTACAGTTAGAAAATTAATAAAGTTTGGAGTCCAAAGAAAAAACAACAACAAAAGTTAATACCTAAATTTACAGGCAAAGGGCAGAATAATAATGAAATACCTATCTATTCACTCCAAACTTTATTAATTTTCTGACTGTACTTGTGTTCTAGATTTATCGTAATGACGATGGAGCTGGTCTCCGAAACGTTTTCAATAGAGAAATGCTGAATTTTTGTGGAGTTTTCTTCGCTTTTAAATTTCTAGTAAATTGTGTATTTATTTATTTTTATCCTCATGTTCCTCCATGTTCTAAGATCGCACATAGTAATTCTACCACAGCATTCAACGAGCATACCACCGCCTGCTTTTTTGTTCATCCATTTGTGTGGAAATAATCAAAGTAATTAAAATTTTATTTTATTGCATAATTCTGAAGGGATCAAATGGGATGTTAACTTAGAGAACATTGGAGTGGTTCCAGCATTATGATCGGTGATGATTAGATCTTCTTTAATTTTATTTCATCTTAATATGAATGCTAAATTGCAATGTTGTACAGTGTAACATGATAAGAGATGATTTTGGGCGATTAAATTCGGCGTGTGCGATTCAACCGCGTCCCTTAATTGACTCGAACTTGGCAGACGTCCAGCAAGAAGCCTTACAGCAATAATTTCAAGTTTTACGTATGCGAAAAATTTTAGGTTGTATGACCTAATTTATAATATTCTATTTGGTTGATCTTAATGCCATGCGTAAGAGCGCAAGGTCTACAGGCGACGCAAGCGCAGCACGCTCTGATCAGTTCGTCGGTCGATTGTTCTTCGCTTTGGGTTTTTCGACGAGAAATAAATTATCAGGCCTAATAGTTGACTATGGATTCGACGCAGTGACGCCACACTGCAGTCGTTATTTTAACAACCTCATAATGTCTCGGTGGATAAATGAACTTTTTTCAGTGCACCTTAAATGAACGGGAAGCCTTTATCTGAGACAGTAACTCGCAAAAGAATTATTCTCTGAATAAATTTCTAGGTTTGGGAGAACTTCCAAGGTGAATTTAAAAAGTTACGATTATTAATTCTATTCTAGAAATGTCTGATCTGATACTTGGAAAATTATAACAGAATTTTTTCCCTTTGCAAAGTGAATAAATTTCTAGGTTTGGCAGAACTTTCGAGTACAATATAAAGAGATATGAATACTAATTCTATTTTAGAAACGGCTGAACAGATACAGATACTCATGAAATTATAACAGACTTTTTGCCGCTTCAAAGTGAAAAAAATTACAGGTTTGGCAGAACTTTCGAGTTGAATTTCCAAATTTATGAATATTAATTCTATTTTAGAAACGGCTGAAAGGGTACTCGTGAAATCATAACAGACTTTTCGCCAATTTAATGTGAATAAATTTCAAGGTTTGAGAGAACTTTCGAGTTGAATTTAAAAAGATATAAATAGTGATTTTATTGGAGAAACGGTTGAACTGATACTAGTGACATTTTAACAGACATTTTGCCGCTTTAAAGTGAATAAATGTCTAGGTTTGGGAGAACTTTGAGTTGAATTTTAAAAGTTATGAATACTAATTCTATTTTAGAAACCGCTGAACAGTTTTGAGACCACTTTTAGGCTCGATTATAAACATAATTAAATATTTTTGGCATATTTTCGCTCGATAATAAAGCGCATTGTTCATTTACCTGTACCCTAAATACAAAATACGACCATTTATTCCCATCTAAATACTCGATAAGAGAAACGCGTGTTTGATAAAATGGTACTGTAAGTACTCAACAAGATAGTCTCGCCGTCAATCAATATGCATGCTGTTGACGCGAGGATAGCAACGATCGTTGCTAGTTAATTCGCTTGCTGATTGTAGATGAGTTAGTTTCGCTGTCAATTTTTTCGAACACTAAATATTCAATAAGAAAGATTCGTTGTTAATGTGTATGCACCAGAACTATTAATGAGCTTCCTGCGCTATTATATTAGTTGCTCGCAGAATACTCGTTAAGATATTTACGCTGTTAACTTATTTGCTCGCAGAATACTTGATAAGATAGTTGCGCTGTTAACTTATTTGCTCGTAGTGCATCTTGAAACGCGACAGGACAGGTGCCTTTACCTGAGACAAGAACTGGCATAAGAACTATTACCGTCGTTGCCACTAACGTTGCCACAGCACTTGGTCTTTAAGATAAACTATCGCCGGTCTTTAAGATGAACTATCGCCGGTCTTTAAGATAAACTATCGCCGGTCTTTAACATGAACTATCGCCGGTCTTTAAGGTGAACTATCTATTATCTGAACAAAACCTAACCACAACTTTCAGGCGAAATCGAAACAGCTTTATTCTTATTCTGTGATAATCCAAGCCTACAAATCGAAGTTCTGCCACTGCAGAACTTCAATTCATATACTGATTTTAGGTACAAGAGGCGAGTCTCTGCTGTGCAGTATCTGCAGAGTGGTAACTTTTGTGTCAGTGACGGTACTCAGTTTCATTTCATTTTATACATATGTCTGATTCTCACGCAAAATGAAAACTGTAGTAAAGAAGTCATGATTTTTCTGAAAAATCTCATTTGGGTTCCTAGGCTATTAATGTTATAGATTTGATTTCTATTCCGACTTTCAATACACACATGAATTTGCTGACATGAATTCAATTTTAAGTTAATTTAAGAATAAATCAATAAATAACATAACTGGTCAAGTCAACGCAGATGATCAGTTAGGACGATCAAAATCATTCGAAATGGCGTCATGAATATAGCATGTTATTCCTGATCAAAGACATTATCTCGAAAACATATATGCTATGAGAATTTCATTAATGCGTGTTCGATGCATTTATATTAATGTAAACATGGGAATAAGTGTATATGTTTTCTGGAACGAACAAAAAAAACAACAAATTTGTTTGAATTGATGTAACTTTTATAGCTAACTATCATCATAGTTTTTAACTGATATTGTTATTGATTATAGTTATTTTAAGAAATTAAGAAAGTTTTATTAGTAAAATCCACGATTGAACCGGTTGTCGCCTACGTTATCGCCAAACAAATGGTGTATTGATTAAGTTCGCTAATAAAACCATAACAGAATAAATAATTTATTTTCTTATCTCATACGTATCTTTGATTGTTGTCACACCTGCACTGCTCTTTTAAAAACTTTAAACTTCACAATAAATTGGTCGATTAATAAATTTTACATTTTTAGTCACGTTATGAGATAATTTGTGTCATAAGTGAAAAATTTAGGAAATTCATCGGAAACCATTAAAACTACTAAATTCGCTGTGCAAGAATAAAATTAACATGTTTTTCGAGTTTGTTGGAGATCAGAGTTCATTTCCGACAGTTATCGGTTAATTCCCTAATTTGAAACGACTGAAGCTACATCGAAAAAATCAATACAGTCATTGCTATTGTGTAAAATTAATATTATTCTGAATTTTTTTGGAGATTTTTAAATAATAATTTAAACTAATGATATTTCTGTGCAATGATAAAGAAAGTTTTTATTTTGAATTTTTTTGGAAACTGTTATATAATAATTTACACTATTGAAATTTCTGTGCAATGATAAAGAAAGTTTTAAACTCACAAATCGTTCGTCGGTCAAGACGAGGTTATGGAGGAGCAGGTCCAGCACGTGTGGGTGACAATCGGTCGCCGTGTACGCGATGATCCCGCAATTGTCGTCGTATTCTTTATTTTCTTTTGGAAATTCAGGAACTACATTTTGAACTTGAGATCTCTCGTCTATAGTACTTTGGAAGTCCATTGCTTTGATTTTCGAGTCGAGGTTGCTGGTAATTACTAATTCGCTCGCGTGGTTTCCAGTTTCATTTCTAATTTTGTATCCGCTATTTTTGTTGTCCGAGTCGCGGATGTTTGATTTAGGCTTGGAACCTCTTTTGTGTGCCATGTATTTTGATGAAATTAACGTTTCTGGTATATCTGTAAACTCGAGATTTGATTCGTGGTCATCATCAATAGTTATTGTTTGTTTTCGGTATACTTCTTTGCTTTGATTTGTGCTGATGGGCATTTGTTTATCAGCACAAATTGAATTATGTCGGGGAAATCTTTTGATAATTGAAGCCGCCAGATATCCAACGCCTGCACCGATTTCCAGAATCCGCTTCCCTCGCACCACCTGTCGTGGAAAAATCTCTATAATATGCTTGTGAAATTTTAGTAAAGTAGTTATTTAAAGAAATTATTGTTAGAAATGTGTAACTGGATTCTTGTCATACAGATACCATATATATTTACAAATTTTGAACATTTTTACCCATGACGTCCTATTGGAGAAAGAATTGTGACTGTTTGGACAGACTAAGTTTGAAAAAGCATGAGTATTTAAATTTTGGTTACCTGAATACCTGAATGCTCGTGAATCGCAAGTCCCGTTATCATGGATATAAAATTATACTATAAATTTAATAAGTAACTTATGTGTAAGAAAGAAAGATCCGTTCATACCATAATTTAGCGCAGAACTCTTACTTATCACGTGCAACTTCTATAATTTAATATGATTAATAAATGTATAATGTCACAATAAAGCTCTGCAGTCTGCACTGACTACTGTTCCATCACTATAAATAAAATGCGACGAAGTGTTCTTTTTTATTGTAGGTACGCTTCATGAAAATTCTCATATAATTTTAATTCTATATGTAGCTATATCTTCTGTAGTTTGGTTTCTATTTAGAATGAAGAAATATCTGTTACTGCATTTAACGTAGAACGCCTTTTAAACTCTTGTTGAAATTGCTAAGTTTCAGTATAAAATTTAGACGATGCTGTCTTCTCTGAATTACCAATGCCATGACAGTTGTGGGCTACAAGGATCTTGCGATATATGCCAAGCTGGAAACCAAAAGGCTGCTGAAGATATCATGATGTTATCATTATTCTTCAAATGACCTGATTTTTATTGTCAGCCGACTACAACTGTTCAATCAATCAGGTATGATCGACGCTCTACCTGAGGATTGTCATGGTCCAATTAAATTGTTTTAATTAACCCACCCTTGCATTGTTATTGTCCAATTAAAGTGTTTCAAGTAATAACCTACCTGTGGATTGTTGTCCACCCATTCAGCCATGACCGCCGCCCCTCCCCAGCTGGTCAGACCCGTCGTTCCTCGGGTTATGCCCCGGCCAGCCTCCAGCAGCGTCACATGGCTGCGCTCGTTTGCAATGCCGGCTTCCTGCAGCGTCTCGTGGCTCCAATCATCCAAGATGACAGATTCCTGCTGCGTTTCGTAGCTGTGCTCGTTTGAAATGAATGCACTTGTAATAAGATGATCCGTAGTTGCCTGTGTCCCTGTTAAGATGTCGACATTGGAAGACAAATATTTGAATAATATATCGTTTCTAATATTGGAGTAAACATTCGTTATGTTTCTTTGGTTAAGAACCATTTGTTCTGCTGCATTAAAATTTAGTTCCTGAGTGCTTATATGATGCAGTCGTTCTTCTCTTGAACATTCCAGCAATGTATGCTGTTGGTTAGGCTTTCGAGCAGCTGACACGATTTCAAGATTGAGTTTGAAATTTAAATGAGTCGGATCAGCAGGGCCGTCACAGCTTAAATACTCTGTTGCAATTAGACTTCTTTCTTCCACCAAACCATTACTGAATTGATTTTTTATTTGAGTATTTCTAATCCATTCATTGATCTCATAATCCTGAAGCCTGGACGCATTTAAGACGTAGCTTTTGTACACAAGCTCTGATTCTTTGTCATCTTTCATTTCTTTTAGTCGCCGGCATGCTTCGAAGCAATCATTTAACCTGCTGCACGCATTTAAGACGTAGCTTTTGTACACAAGCTCTGATTCTTTGTCATCTTTCATTTCTTTTAGTCGCCGGCACGCTTCGAAGCAATCATTTAACCTTCTGCACTTCCATTGTCTTGAGAGGAAGATGTCCAGCAGCCACTGCAGAGTCTGAAGGTCCACTGATGGATCCCGTGGGTATCGCAGAGCCAAAGGATGCAGCACAGTGCTCAGTAAACAAAGACTTCCCATCGCTTCTTGCTGCCAATTTAATCATTAGTATTTATTTAAAAATATATATAATGTAAAATATGCGCATATAATAACTTCACAAAAAAATGAAATATTGATAATTATTTAAAATATATTGGGCTTCGTTCAATTGATGATCTTGTTCACCGATTCGATTTTAGTTTAAGTGATTAATGGGTAACATTGCGATGCTACAACTTACCTCTTCAGCGGACAAGTCTGCTGGCATATACTCTGCAGCTCGGGACCACAGCACTCTGTTGGTTGGTAGACCCACTAGGTGGGCTTGTGACAGTATTGGCCGCCACTGTCCATTGCACCACTCAGCCCACCCCTGGGCACTGAGTGTGCTGGGCAGAATTGACATTGTAGTGACGGTTTAAAAAATTTTCGGGTTTGAGGAAAAACTGAGCTATCCGGGAGCCTCGTTCCTGAAGAAATATGAAGCATGAAAAATCGATCCGTTAATAAGAAATTCGCTTTTTAAGAAATAAAATAAAAATTTACGTTTAAAAATTACTTTTTAAAGACAACACTTCCAAAGAATCCAGTATCACCAATCTTACAGATGTACAATGAATTTCTCATCTAATTTTCAAAAAGTAAAAAATTTATTAAATTTCGATTACAAGATTTGTAGCAGACAGACAGACAGACAGACAAACAAACAAACAGACAAGAAGTGAAGTTAAAGAGAAGTGTTGTAATATACATATCAATCCCCCGAATATTTTTTGCTCTACGCTATGTCGCAGTGAAAACAAACAACAGTTTTTGAATAAAAATAAATTTAGCGCAATATCCAGTAAAGAAACAAATAACTTTAATAAAATCAATTATTAATTTAGAATTCTCTCTTCAATGTTAAGGTTGAAGGGTCTTCATCGCATATATAATGCTGCTGATGGATGACATTAAATAAAACATTTTACGAGCAAGGGGGGAAATTCAGAAGACAGTGTGAGCGAATCCAGCAATAAATTAGTGAGCACTGGAATAAATAAAGTGAATCTTTTTTTGCAATATCAAACGTGTTTGATATCCAGAGGTGGGCAGTAGCGCGCTACATGTAGCGGTCGCTACTAGCGGCCGCTACATTTTCAGTAGCGGTAGCGGTAGCGGCTCTACATTTAAGGCAATGTAGCGGTAGCGGTTTGCACTCGTCAGATCTAGGCCATGTTCCTCGGGCCGAGTTTTAAGCTTGCTTATAAACATAGGCAAATATTTTTGCATACACCTGCTCGTCGTCACTATACAGTATAAATATTTAATTTATTACTTTGCGTCGGAAGTGTCTTAGGAGAGCGGAACTGATGAGCTACAAACAGGCTTAACGACCTGGTAGCGTGCTGGTCTGCCAACAGAACGTAAACTGATTATTTATTCGCCTGCTTAAAACTCGACAAATCAATTAAACTGTAAATTTATTCGAACACTAAGTAATCAAGAAGCTAGTTTCACTGCTAAATTATGCGCATCGCTTTAAAGTGAATAGATTTCTAGGTTTTGAAGAACTTTCCACTTGAATTCAGAAAGTTATGAATACTAATTCCATTTTAGAAACATCTCGACTCGAGTAATTACATACAACAGACTTCTTGCCGCTTTAAATTGAATAAATATTTAGGTGTTGGAGAACTTTCGAGGTGGATTCAAGAAGTTATGAATTACAATTCTATTTTAGAATTAAAATTTTTATTAAAATTATTATTATTATAAATAATTATTTATATTAAAAAATTAAAATTATTATTTAGAATCAAAATTGTCTCAACTGATACTCGTGAAATTATAACAGACTGTTTGCCGCTTTAAAGTGAATAAATTTCTAGGCTTGGAAAAACTTTCGAGTCGAATTTAAAATGTTATGAATACCAATTCTCTTTTTGAAACTTCTGAACTGATACTCGTAAAATTATTACAGTCTTCTTGTCGCTTAAAAGTAAATAAATTTTAGTGTTTAGAAAAACTTTAGAGTTGAATTAAAAAAATTATGAATACTATATCTATTTTAGAAACGGCTGAACAGCTTTAGGCCCAGTTTAGTTTAGATCCAGGCTCGATTATAAACATAAACAAATACTTTGTATACACCCGCTCGCTGCCATTAATTAGACGATATAAACATTTGAATTATTTCTTGTGTCGTATGTTTTCTAGGAGAACGGAACTGATTAGCCGCCAAAAGCTTGTCAACCCTAACGTCGTCAGCTGCAAACAGAGCCTAGACCGATCATTTCTTCTCCTGCTAAAAGATCGATAAATAGCGCATTATTCATTTATTCGTACACTAAAGACTATTTAAGGCAATTTATTCCCATATAAATACTAGATAAGATAAACGCATTATTGATATATTGGTACTGTAAGTACTCTATAAGTCTCGCTGTTAATCAATATGCATGCTGTAGACGTGAAGATAGATTCGTTGATGGTTAATCCGCTGGCTGACTAGTAGATGAGTTAGTTTCGCTGTAAATTTTTGCGTACACTAAATAATTACTAAGAAAGTTTTGTTCTTAATGTGTATGCATGAGAATACTTATTGAACTTCTTGCGCTATTACCGTATTTGCTCGCAGAATACTTGATAAGATAGTTACGCTGTTAACTTATTTATCGAATATAAAATCATCGAAAAATAATAGTATAATAATTGTTTTTTGCTAGGAAAAATATCCACAGTATCCCAACTTTTCATATCATTTGCGTCATGGACACTTTAGACCATTCAGCGATAGAGTTCGATAAGAAAAAGGAACAAATAAAATATGCGTTCTCATGCACTAACTGATCAAAGATGATATTTGCTCAAACTTCTTCGACGTATTTTTCTAAAATATACCTTGTGTTTCAAAACAACGCTTATCGTATTGTCATCCAATGACACAGATAATGGATTAGGTTTGAAGATCATCGACTTCAATTTTTGGAGTGCAAAGTTGTTTGTTTGCTGAACTCTGATCAGTTTGTCATTCGATTCACTTTAGGTTATTAGACGGAGAACACAAAGGAAATATTAATCTCACGCGCTAACAAACAACAATAAATAAATTATCCGGTTCAATATTTTACAATTGATTTGATGCGGTGACTCCGCACTGCACTCGCTATTTCAAGGACCTCATAATATCTTGATGAAAATGATGTGCTTTTGTCAGTGCATCTTGAAACGCGACATGACAGGTGCCTTTACCTGAGACAAGAACTTTTTTAAAAACTTTAAACTTCACAATAAATTGGCCGATTAATAAATTTTACATTTTTAGTCACGTTATGAGATAATTTGTGTCATAAGTGAAAAATCGCTCTACGTTTGTTCTTTAACGACATATTATTTTTCAGAGAGCCATCAAAAATGAACACTGAGCGGATTTTCGCGATAGTTGAGTTTTTAATGTGGTTCAGTGGCTCCGCAGTGGTTAATAGCAAAGATGCTAGGCCTAATTTGGAGAATGATACAAGTTTACCACACAACAAACGTCTCATCCTTCCCGTCGATAACCGTTATTCAAAAACTGTGTTTCGCGAAAAACGAAGTAGCAAAGTTAAAATTAAGCTAAAACAAATGTGGGTGCGCTTTGTACAGTTCCAGTTCATTGTAAGTACATTTATGGCCTTATTTATGCTTGATTATGGCAGCAGTACTGACATCCTCATATACGCTTCCATGAACGGAGTTCCGCTTCTAACTGGACTCTCAGCAATCGTGTTGTTCAACCTTCAGAAGAATATCTTCTTGAGAACTCTGCGCAAGTTTAAAAAATATGGTCTTTCGTTATGGCATCGTGGCGGCTCCATTTTAAACAAACGCGATTACATTTTGTTTGCTGCCGCGAACATCAGCTTCTGGCTTCGTGCTTTGCCACTCTCCTCTCGATCGAATGACCAAAGCATGCTTAACGGCGCAATGTTCACTACTCTGTACATGATTTTTCTCGCGTTGCTGACAGTCTTCTATGTCTTCGTAAAAGTAATTATTAAAGAATTTTCCTGCACGACGAGCGAACTTAATACATTCGTGCTACTAAATTCCGAAAACAAATTTAACTTTAACAGAAAAATCTCTCGAAAACTGATGAAAAGTCCTTCAAATTACAGAAAAATCTCCTCAAAAAAGCACGAGGAAGATCTAGTAAAGGCTAATTCTGCCCTGGAAGGAGTAGAACAAAGTTATTTCAACAACGACGCCGCACTGAAGGCATTATCCGAAGTCTTTGCTTGGCCTCTGCTGTTAATCGCGGCATCATCGTTCACCGCCATCATTTTTGCCATATACTTCATCGCTACGCTCGGCCTGCAGACTCAAGACGGAGTAGCAGATTTGCTGCTACACTTCTCTATCGCCAGCAACTCATTCATCTTTTTACTCGCCATGCACAATCCTGTGCATGAACTCTACGACTCTGTGAGTTGAAATAATGTTAGAAAATATGTATATAAATCGCAATACGAAATTAAAAATATATAATTTCTATATAAATCATAATATTAAAAATTTTCCAAGCTATCTAAGAAGTATCAATTGTAAAATAATTCAGACCGACTATCGAAAATTGTTTTCACTGAGTCCTGTACTGCCATGCTGCAAAATTGTTTAAGTGGTCTCATTCCGTGTACAATGCATTACATGCTTGAAAATTATTAATTTCACTTTATAAATTTCTGATGTATCTTCGAATTTCATCCTATTCATCGGAGGAATTCCTATACGCGAATTAAATCAGGACTTTCAATTCAAATAAATTTTTAAAATTCACAAGAGACACTCCCCTCGCTCAGATAAGTTTATGTAACGATATATATTTCATTCGCTATATCGGTACGTACTCCGATGAGTATTGAGTATTGCATTTGCTTTATTGCTAATTTTATTATATAATTAATTCTTCAGTGAGTTATTTGCTACTTTGCTTAGTTAATCAACACTTCGATGTGGGAATTACTACGTTATCTATATACTTAATTACTATTTCATTTTGATAATTAATACTTCAATGACGGAATTGTTAATTTGCTTCAAAGCATACTACTTCATTAAGTTAATTATTACTCTATTTAGTTAATGATGGCTTTCATAAATGAATTCATATTTAAAGATTTAATTACAACCCTCAGATGGACAACTGCCAGACCGCACTGCTGCGTTTCCATCGCCATTACGGCACATTCTTCGACGCGGCGACGGTGAGTATTTATGTTCATGTTTATCTATGACCTATTATTTCAGATTATTTCAGAAGCATGAATTATCAGAAGCTCTTTGACGAAAATTTGTAACGATTAAATACTTGGCTACCTTGCACCTCTCCAAAAATTCATTCAATGAGCAAATACTATAAATTGATGGCATAGACTGTTTAAAAAACGGCGAATAACGGTCTGACAGGTGTTTTGATGACCGGTCGCCCCGTGAAACAAACACCATGTCGCTTTTTAGCGCATTTTCTCATTTATGGAAAAAAATGCCCTATTGTGCTCGTTATGTCCGTACGTCTGTCTGTCTGTCTGTCCGTCCGTGATTTCACGTTTTCGTCGACGATAAAATGCGCTCTCTGTCACTCACTGCAGTGAGTACTGAGTTATATATATTTTTTTATCAGTGCATGGTTTTTTAATGAGAATTAAAGCTCTGTTTCATGTTTCTCAACTGATGATATAACTTGGACCAAAATTTACGATTGAAATATGCATTAACATAATTAACATTAACATGCATTAGAATAGAAGTTTCAGTTCTAGCGACAGGTAAATCACTGAAACATTTTCAGTTCTGTAGGACGACCAAAAAGGAGAAATCATTCAAGTCGTATTCATAAGTAATATTTTTGAGACAAAACATTAATATTTTCCTTGCCGTTTTCATTTCAGGAACTAAATCAGTTTCCAATGAACATGCTAAACGGCTAAATAAAATCATGTTGATTTTAAATAATACAGACACTATAATGAGGAAGTTATTATTATTTCTGATGTTTATATTAAGAAACCATTAGATTTTTATACAATGAATGCCGTCAACTTACCATTTGAAGTATGAAGTCTAAATCACCGATAAATTTGCCTAGCTAATACCGTGAATAATGTTCAATTATCATTGTACGATACTATTGCAGACTACCCGGAGTGTGATTATTATACGATAATATTCTATTACAGACTACCCAGGATTTGATTATCATAAGGTAATCTTCTATTGCAGACTACCCGGGATTTGATTATTATACGATAATCTTCTTTTACAGATTACCTGGGCTGTGATTATCGTGCGATAATCTTCTATTGCAGACTACCCGGGGTTTGATTATCATACGATAATCTTCTATTGCAGACTACCCGGGGTGTGATTATCATACGATGATCTTCTTTTACAGACAAGCCGCGTTCTGAGCGTCGCTAGCAGGCCTCGCACTCTGACGCTCGCGGGCTTCGGATCGCTGGGTCGTGGCTGCTTAACCCAGGTCTGTATTATAGAACATTCATTTGATTTTGGAATTATTGTAATTTTTTATTTAGTTAATGTGCATTAAGATAAAATTATTCTGAACTGAAGAGTCCGGTTTGGACATTCCCTACGAAATGATATACAATTTATTTCAGACGAATACGAATTTTTCAGATGTCAGAGTTCACCGTCGCAAGCGTGTTTATTTAAAAAATGCTTATTTTTAGGATTTCAGCGTTCTTAGTCTCGAACATGTTTAGTTCAACAAAAGTACTTATGTTCCAGATGCTAGTGTTCATTGTATCAAGCAAATTTATTTCAACAGAAATAAACAACAGAAATAAACAGCAGAATTTTTTTCAGATGTTAGCGTTCATCGTTTCAAGCGTGTTTACCTTAAACAAAAATAATTTTTCTCCAGATGTTAGCGTTCATCGTTTCAAGCGTGTTTATCATAAACAGAAATAATTTTTTTCCAGATGTTAGCGTTCATCGTTTTAAGCGTGTTTATCATAAACAGAAATAATTTTATTCCAGATGTTAGCGTTCATCGTCTCGAGCGTGTTTGTGGCGCTGCAGTTCCGCTCAGCCGAAAGTGTGTTCAATAAAACGGAAGCACAAGGAAATAACCTGTTAGTCATTGATTGATTTATAGAGGAAGTTATCGATATTTGTATTGTTTTTTGTAACATCGTTTGCGACTAGTTGAACAAAGAATGATCTCGTTACCATAAAATTGGCAATAAAAAATTATTTACAATTAATTAGCGTGTCAGAATTCTGCCTGTTATTTAATTGATAATTAAATAGAGCAGATAATTTATACAACTTCACGGAGACTCAATAGATGATGAAGTCTTTCTCATATATAATTGCCGTAAAACGATTCAAATAGAATATGATGGGAAGGCATAATAAAATACGTATAAAACAGAGGTGCATTTATTATACAGTATTTGTAAATATTCCAATAAATTCTTGAGTTTTGTGTAATTCCAAAGGTGGATAACAATGCGATAACAACGCGAGAGCGTCTGTCACACTAGGCAGAGCCACCCTCATGTATAACTGTAAATAGAACGATACAAGAAGCTAAGACTAGTTTAGGCAATAACAGACTAGCAATTGTATTTAGAATGTGGTAGGTTTATTTTAGCTTGATATTTAAAGGGAGCATGGATGTCATTTTTTAAGCATGCGGTCCACTCAATTGTAGGATTATACTGTAGATAGTAAGCAGATTGAGGAAGCGTGAGAACAGTTTATTGAAGGCAAGATAATGATTTTTTTGCTCGTGTTTTGTTGACTATAAGATGCACACATATTAGAAATTGATAGAAAGGGTGTGTGGGAGAGCGTGTTGTGCGTGAGAATTCATAGAATTCAATATTGCGTGGAAGCAGGTTTTTGTGACAGGGTTTACTATAGACTATGAAAAGTTTATTGTAGTTAAGGAATAGCATGGAAACTTCCGATATGAAGTTACAAGCGGATCAAACTTGTTAATGTACAGAATTAAAGTTATGAGAGAAAAGTGATGCATTCTAGTGTGACATATTAATTGGTGTTATTATAGTGACGCACGGTGAGATAATTATAAATATAAATTATAAAGAATGAAACTTGTCTTTAATAATTTGAACAATTTTTGGGCCATGAGCTGAACAGCGTCGCAACTTGAAAACAAAAAGTATAATGACAGACGATGAGCAGTTCCCAGGCACAAATTACTGAAATTAGACATCATTAATGTCAAATTAGAAACTAATAATCTAAAATGATTGATCAATGCGTAGAAGAGTGAACAAAAAACAAGTCTTGCAAAAAGAAAAAAATAGATCAAGTAGCTTATTTTGTGTCCCATTGCAATGTAAACGTTCAACCAGACATGATCGGCATGATTAACATTGTTGGGATGAACGACATGAACAATCATGAGTGCTGTGTGCATCGTGGGAGCACGTCATGTGGTATCAACACAAGACAACGTTTTATCAACACATGAATAGGTGTCATCAACGTAGAGAAATGTGTTATCAGCTCTTGAATAGATATTATCATTTGTTATTAACAAATAACTATCTGTTATTGATAAATAACTGTCTGTTATTGACAAATAACTGTCTGTTATTGAAAAATAACTATCTGTTATTGACAAATAACTGTCGGTTATCGACAAATAACTATCTGTTATTGACAAATAACTCTTTGTTACTGACAAATAAGTAAGTGTTACCCATACACGAAAATGTGTTAGTGACATATGGCTATGCTTTATCGGTACATGAAAATGTGTTATCAAACCATAACTATATGTTATCAACAGATGAATATGTGTTCTCGGCACATCGCTGGTGTTGAACTGTGTTATCGTGAAGTGTGGGAACGAAAGTGTTCAATAGTGATGCTGTAAAGGTAGAAAATTATTAAACTGATTTCACAACCCAGTTTATGGGAAGTGCCATTTCGAAACCTGAAGTTCGAATCTATGCCCTCCATTTGAATGGGTGAGACGGTGTGGTTTTGCATTGGATATTAGTATGTATTTTTCTGATAACTCACGGAGCTAAATCTTCTGTTTATAATATTACTCAGTAAATTTACCATTTCTAGAGCAGTGACAGCAATGTGTTCTTTAATGGGACGTTCACACACACAGCAAAACAGTGGCGAACATTTCGCCTATGCACAATAACTCAAAAGCACACGCATTAATGGTGGACAATTACAGTAAAAAAGACATCTGGGCTGATGTATACTGTAATATAAAGTAGAATGAGTCAACCTATAATGTATATCACATCTTAAACATTTGGTTCCTGACCAGGAACTTATAGGCTATATAGGTCATAATAATAGTATAGATATACTAAAATTATGCACATAGATGATCAGCCAGTTTGTAGCATTGTTTCGAATGCTATACTATTTACTTAGCCCACTAATTGTGAAAATTTGTATTTAAAAATTGGAGTTACAGAAACTTTCATCTTGTTTAATTTTGACTAAAAAATATTTCTATCATTGAATAACTTAGAACGAAAAGATGTGGCAAACACAAAAAAATTGTTTCAGTACTCTAAAAGTACTACAATAATAGTTGTTATAATGTCTTGTATATTGAAAGATTATATATAAACTGAACAATAATGGGCAGGCCAATCTTATGAGAAGAAACCCTATAGAAATCACATGCATTAAAATCTTATGCAAATTTTTTATTTGCATGTCGATATGCATAAACTTCCACACTCAAATCAACACGCATGCATTTCAACGAAAACATCTCAATGGTACAACATCCAATTCTAAATATCTTTCATCTACTATATAATACCTGCCGACGTGAGATATAACTCATTCACCAAGTATGAATGCAAACTCTATGGTATAAACCAGGGTTGCCAAATGACCTAAAAAACGGCCAAGTCCGCGAATGAAAAAGGCCAAAAAAGGTCTATAATTTAATATATTCTGGTATACTTATAGGATCCGGTGTAAAATAAAATTGCATTTTTTGCAGTTTATAAAATTTAATCGGAAAAAAAAGCCGTCTGGCAACCCTGGTATAAACTATGTCGGTTTTCTCGTGCACACATGTAGCCTGATGAGTAATTATTCATATTCTTTAAGTTAATACAAAGTTCTTCCGGGTGATGATCTTGTGAATGTAATTGGGGCCAATTCATTTAACTATTTTTTATGCATTCGAGTTCCATTAATAATCTTATCAGTAAATTTCTCTTCTCTTTTCTAAAGCATTAAATGCTAAATAAAATTTAAACCATTCATCATCTCACCCAGCTGTACTGATAACAAGCTATTACAAAAATCATACAAAGAAATCATCTTTTCCTCTCCCATGAAGCTGTATTTTCGATTAATGTATCACATTAATTTACAATATTCGACAAGCGATTATGAATCCACTGACTGTGCTCAAAGGAATGTCTTATAATGTAACAAAGTTTTGCAGGTATAAATAGTCTAACAAATCTTCAAAATTATCTTTTAATACAAAATTACTTTCATATTTTCATGCATATTCATATACTCGCAATATTCAGGCAGAATACGCTCAGTAATTTATAAAAGAATATACAGAGCTCCATGCACCACATGTTGTGTAGGTTGGCTTGTTGGACACATCGAGAGCGTAAGCTCTCGTAAAAGATATAAATATTTATATGTATGTCCTGAATATTAGTACGTTACATGAATAATAAGATTTCTGAGGAATATTCATATTTTCCAAGAATATCGATATTTTCCATGGATATTATTATTTTCCGATCGCATGCGAGAATTGCACAATGATCACACTCGATATTTATTCATTCCATGTTTTCTTGCGCTCGTTCACTTAGTTTTAAGTCGCTACTCAAACTGTTAGTTGTCTTGTTTAGAGTTCAAATAGATTTTGCTGCTTTTAAATTCAATTATTGGTTTGAATTCAAAGCAAAAAATGTGAAATACTCCCTTGCAAACTTATCTGCGCAAAGTTCCCTAGTTCACAGCATGACGGAAAAAAACGTAGAAAATTCGGCACTAAGGAGCCCGTTCGAGCACTGTGTGGAGTGACAATTTTCATATATACGAGCTTGAGACAGGCAGAATCAACTCGACTTTGTATGTTCCGATATTGTAAGCCGCTGAATTGCATGGCATTGCATGGAGATCAAAATGGAGATCTATTAATATGAAAAACGAGAAATTAGAAATAATTTGGAAGCAGTGAAATGTTTCCTCCATTACAGAAATTGATTTCTAGGTCTTGGAGCTTGTAGGCTTTGATTGAAGTTCATCGTTGATAATTAACTCATCAAATTGTGACTCTATAGGTAGAAAGGATATGCGCACACAGGTGAATTATATCAACGAAAGGAACTGTGCACAGGACGGTACATGGGATAAGACCGAGTTAGACGAGAGAGTAGAAATCTGTTATCACGATTAAGAGACTTTGAAACTTGACAGTTCCATGATCAGGCGTTGAAAGCATGCACACATGAATGTTCCAATTATTTTTGCCCTAGTTGGATATTTTTCTGCCTATTCAAAATGGCGGCCAAAAAGGCACAACTTTAAAAAATCCAACAGCGTTAATTCCATCAAGTCTTTCATAAATGTCTTTCACATACATTTTATTCATCACTTTTTGCCCTCACGAAAATTGAACGAGTGTGAAGTGCATAGGATTAGGAATAGATGCTATATATGTGCGTCACTTTCGATTGAAAAAGTCACAAACCTTTAAGTATGGAATTCTGCAAGAGTCCAGTGCATTAAATCAGATTGAATCTACTCGAAATGAGCTCTAAGAAGGGCCCTTCATTAAGAGTTCTGCTCAATGTCTACTGGGTAAGCTAGGAAGCGCCAAACACTTCAATTGGTTCTGCTCAGTCCGAGGAAGAGCAGGTTGAGCAGACCGAGCGTGGCAAGGATCGAATATACGAAGAGAACATTATGTTCTTCGTTTGTCTGGAGGATTGAGCAGACCAAGATAAGTGAGATACGAAGAAGTCACGAGGCAAATCTTCCTCAACTGAAATTTTCGAGCGATCTGACTCTTGCTGGATGATGGATTAAGTTGGGGAGATGAGCGGGTTGGGTCTCACGCGAGGCTCTTTACAGGTTATCAAATGTATGAATAAGGCCCGTCTGTGAGAGCATTGCACAGCAAGAGTCAGGAGTTGTCATCTTTGACGAGGTCACCCCTGTTAGGTTTGTACTCGAGGCCAGGGTCGAATTGCATCAGAACGAACACTTGGTCTGTTGGCAGGAGCGTGAAATCGTCAGGAGGGTTGGTGATGACGTAGCGTTTCGAGGAAGCGTCGCAAGACGAAGACGTATCGCGGAATCTGATAGGAAGACACCTGTTTTAAGAGAGGGTTCTGTGAAAAGCGATGTAATGATTGCAACTGAAAAATAATAAGCACGTGAGCAAACCAAGCCGGAAGAAATTTCAAGCATAGTGATTACAATATTTGTTCAAGATAAGAAAAAGTGAAGTCCAGAGCATAAAAAAAGAGCAGCCTGTCTGCAGGATTTCAGAGTACAATTAGCAGGCACTTTAATATTAATAAAGACAAATTAAGAAAAGTTGACAGAAGTGCAGAGCGACGTGCACTCTTCTGAAAGACTAAAGAATAGTCACAGTGGGTATACTGCAATCCGTTTAGCTACAGCGTGAAATAACACCGACTTGCGAGTACCAAATGAAAAGACGTAGTGATAATTTAAAAACACTTCATTCACTGCAGGTGAGAAACCCATTGTGATTCTACAGTATAACTGTAGTCTTTAACAACCAAGAATACTCGACAAACAAATTACGTGAGGCGGAAGCCCAGAATAACTTTGTGTGTTATGTTTACTGAGCTTCAACCTTCAGTATGGAACAGTACGGGATGGGAAGTATAATAAAGAAGGCTCTGAAAATATTTCGCTTCTACCATCATTATCCAATAGTTGGGAGGAGAAGGGGGTTGGGATGAGGGAAGACTCTGAAAATATTTTGAAACAGATCGGAGTCCCAGCGAAGTTTTATCTGCAAGGGAAGAATTACGAGATCATAAAAGCTGGGTTTATTGATACGATGAAGCTGGGTATGCTTAACGAGCATAGATGAAAACTAAAAGAAGTTTCATCAGAAATTAAATTAGACGGGTATGTTCGCGACGAAAAATCAATGGTGGAATAAAAAAAACTTTGACAAGCCTTCAGGAACTATTGTTTAAGTTTTTACTTCAACTAAAGAAATCAAAAGCAGAGTTTTTTTTAAAATATTTTGCAGGAATTATTGGTAATCAGGGACAGGTTTAGCATTAAAATATGGGATGGCAGTATTTTAGACCCCTGCTATGTTTGTGGTCAGGCTAGGTTTCACTGTTTTGGTTATTGCGACGTCCTCTCAATATTTCGCATGAAAATTTAAAACCAAAGAAGGCATGGCTTAATTATTAATCGCCCCTCAATTAAGTGTTTCAAACGTTTACGTGCAAAGCAACAGCATCTCATCCGCTGAATTCAGCGAAGTGGTAAGACATATAATGGATTCGAGTGAATTTACTTCATTATAATGAAGTTTTTTATGGTATATTTCAGTCGTGATGTGCTGTGTTAATAATAAATATGCATAAACTCAGTGCAGAGGGACACCTGGTTAAACGAGTATCATGAACTGAGTGCTGTGGGACGAGCGAAGTATTTACATCTTTTGAAACAACTACTAGAGGGAGGGTGTCAAATTCATGACCAATTTGCCAGAATTACCAATTGCCAGAAACCACTGAGTGAAAACAAAAGGCTGCTGATAATTCAGCCGTGACTTAAATTCAGCCGTAAGCAGACAACTTAAAAGAACTCATCAAAAGAAGCGGCAGCGAATGTTCTGATTTGTGTCGCTAGGCTCGCGTAACTTACGGTCACAGACGAAGTTCGAGATTATCTCGCATGATTTCAAAGTAAATAGAAAGTTATAGAACATGGGATAAGAGAATATATCATGAAGAGAAATTCAAAATTTAGCTGATATATTAAAAATAGGAAAACTATAAAAACTATGGTGCTCAATTTGCATTATATATACAGATCTTAGATATTTATATCGATTAATCACCTTAGAGTAGAGCTAAATTAATGTTAGATTAAATTATCCTATTCGTATTGACATGCAAATTTTCATAATGCATAAAAAACTTTATCGTAAATATCAACCCGCGTCATCCGGTGAACAGTGGGACCTGTGAGTAACCTGTGAGTAGCAATACTGACCTGTACAAATCGATGCAGAGGAGGACCTGTGAGCAATACTGATTTAGAGCAGGACATGTGAGCAGCAATACCGACCTGTATAGCCTATGCAGAGAGGGACCAGTGAACAATACTGAGGTAGAGCGGGTCCAGTGAATAGCAATATATACCGACCTGTATAAGCCTATGCAGAGAGGGACCAGTGAACAACTTACTGATGTAGAGTAGGACCTGTGATTAGCATGCAATACCGACCAGTATAAGCCTATGCAGAACGGGACCAGTGAGCAATACTGATGTAGAGCAGGACCTCTGAACAGCAATACTGACCTCTATAAGCCGATGTAGAGCAGCACCTCTGAGCAGCAATACTGACCTGTATAAGCCTATGCAGAGCAGGACCAGTGAGCAATATACTGATGTAGAGCAGGACCTCTGAACAGCAATACTGACCTGTACAAGCCGATGCAAAGCAGAACGTCTGAACAGCAATACTGACCTGTACAAGCCGATGCAGAGCATGCCGTAGTTTCTGAGCGCGGATGTGAAGAGATCCCCGTACACGCCGCCCTCCCCGAACTGCCCCAAGGGGCCGTCATACAGAGATATTTGCCCTACACGGCATCGGTCTCTGTTCGATAGCGTCTCTGGCGTGCTGGCAATAGGCACAGAAATTATAGTTATTTATAACTAAATCTTACCACCTACAAATTGTTAAATGTTGAAAATAGAAATTATTAGTATGGTAAATAAATCTTATCATCTTCGAAATTTAAAAATGTCATGTTTTAATAATATAACTGACATATTCTATACCATTTTCATTCAGTTTAGCGATATATTTTTACGCACAGCAGCAAAATACAGCATTTTTCTATAAAAAGTCAAGTCTTTCAGACTTGATCGAGCGCACAAAATAAATCGAGTTTCATTCAATATTCGAAAATTCAAGAACAAAAATTGAAGTAATTCGAGTAAATTAAGGAAATTAAGGACAATCAATTCCATACATAATGTCTCATTGCTGTGAGTGCAAACACATAGCATTGTACTCACACAATGTCTCATTGCTATGAGTGAAAACACATAGCATTGTACTCACACAATGTCTCATTGCTATGAGTGCAAACACATAGCATAGCATTGTACTCACTCAATGTCTCATTGCTATGAGTGCAAACACATAGCATTGTACTCACATGATGTCTCATTGCTATGAGCACAAACACATAGCATTGTACTCACATGCTGTCTCATTGCTATGAGTGCAAACACATAGCACTGTACACACATAATGTATCGTATTATATTTTATTATGTTATTAACTGTAATTACCTGTATCCGCCGCGTAGTCCCGCCCCCTCAGCCAAGATCAACTCGAGCTCGGGCGTAGCGCCCCCCGTGATGAGTGATCGGATGAGCGTCAAGGCGTTCTGGTTGAAGTATGTCTGCAAGGAACACGTCAAACGTCAATCATCTATGATAATATGATTTTTTATTGATAATTTTAATAAAAATTTGTTGACCTTTTAGACACAATTAGAAGAAGTGCTGGTTCCAATTTCAATTTGTTCTAAGTAAGAGAAATAATTAATTAATTGATTTCATGACGGCTTGAATCCAAAATTTTTTTGAAAAATTGGTGCATAATTTCGAAAAATTTTGGTACAATTTTTCGATTCAAAAAGGAAGATAGTCGTTAAATTCTCTCTTACGTTTCTATCTGTGAATAAAATGTTGTTGAATTTGTTTGATGATTCGGGGTCCAAAAATTCAGTTTGTGCAATCGAATATTTACCATTTTATGTTTGAGAACATGACATTAACAAACGCAGTGGCATCGTTAGTGATGTAACCGAAAAGCTTTTCACTACTGCAGAAATTGGGGAAACAGTCACTGAAAAGCGACTGCCTATGTCTTTTTATTTGACGCGCCGTATTTAAGTATTCCACGCACCATAAACAAACATTTTAGGAACCGTAGACAAATATTCTGGCCCCTTTTGGTACAATTTTTCGATTCAAAAAGCATGATAGTCGTTAAATTCTCTCCTACGTTTCAATCTGTGAATAAGAATGTTTCGTTGCAGATAATATTTTATTTGTATATGAAACATCCAAATGAGAACACACAAACTTCTATCCAATGAAAAACAACTATTAAATCGTTTGAAATGTCTGACAATTAAAAAAAATGAAGCCGAAGGATTCCTATCAACTTTTCGTCCAAGCCAAAAACATGCGTAAAAATCTTGTTGAATTTGTTTGATCATTCGAAGTGCAAAAATTCAGTTATGCAATCGGATATTGACCTTTTTTTGTTTGAGAACATGACACTAACAACAGCGACTGCATCGTTAGTCATTTCACAAATAAGTTTTTCACCTAATACATATATTGGGGAGCCGGCCGCTAGAATTATTTGACGCACCGGAGTTAAAAATTCTATGCACCTAAACAAACAATATTTGTCTGCGCATCACCGCAGACAAATATTCCACCCGCAGAAGGCAGACATTCAAAGCACCACAGACAAACATTTCACGCACCATAGACAGACATTCCAGTTACTGTAGCCAAATATTTCACTCACTGACGACAAATATTTCACACACCATTAACAAACATTTCACGTACCATAAGTAAACATTTTAAGAACCGTAGACAAATATTCTGGCCCCTTAAGACAACCATGCCACACGCAGTGGCCACACATTCCACGCACCGTGGACATGAGAGAGTCGAGGACCGACACGGCGAAGGCGGTGCCGCAAGCGAAGGGCTGCGTGAGGTAGAGCTCCGTGTCTGGGTCATCATCGTCGTCCTGGTCGAGGAACTGAACGTTGCTGTCGTTGATGAGTTCGGTGATCATGGGCACGTTTGCGCCGTACACGGAGCCCCGGCGCTGCAGCACGATGGGGGATCCTAGCGGGCTGACGGCGTCGCCGGATGGATCTGTTGGAAGGGGGGATGTAACATGGAAGGATCTGCAGGGAAGGAGGGAATCGGGAATGCAACGTGGAATAATCCAGATTGAAGGTGGATGTAGCATGAAAGGATCTGCAGTAAAGGAAGAAATTAAAAATGGAAGGCTCTGGAGGGGGAAGGGAATTTGGAAAATGCCATGTGAAAAGATCTGGAGAGGAGACATGGATGGAATTTGGATTTGAAATATAGAAGGATCTGTATTGGAGGAGGGGGGTTAGAAAATGCGAAGCGAAATGATCGATAGGAGAGAAATGAGATTCGGAGAAGAATGGAAGGATCCAGCAAGTTTTAAGGAGAATCGATGATGGAACAGGAAGTCTAATGCAATATGGAAGGATCTGGAGGGTAATGCAATATAGAAACATCTTGAAAATTTGGAAATGCAATATTAAAAGATCTGGTGAAGGTGTAGAAATTCAACATGAATAATTGTGCTTAACTCACTCTGGGATAAGACCCCGATGGTGTCACTATTAGACCCTGTCTTAAACTCACTCTGGGACAAGACCCCGATGGTGTCACTTTAAGACCCTGTCTTCAACTCACTCTGGGACAAGAATCCGATGGTGTCACCATTAGACCCTTTCTTCAACTCACTCTGGGACAAGACCCCGATGGTGTCACCATTAGACCCTGTGTTCAACTCACTCTGGGACAAGACCCCGATGGTGTCACTATTAGACCCTGTCTTCAACTCACTCTGGGACAAGACCCCGATGGTGTCACCATTAGACCCTGTCTTCAACTCACTCTGGGACAAGACCCCGATGGTGTAACCATTAGACCCTGTCTTCAACTCACTCTGGGACAAGACCCCGATGGTGTAGCCATTAGACCCTGTCTTCAACTCACTCTGGGACAAGACCCCGATGGTGTAGCCATTAGACCCTGTCTTCAACTCACTCTGGGACAAGACCCCGATGGTGTAGCCATTAGACCCTGTCTTCAACTCACTCTGGGACAAGACCCCGATGGTGTCACCATTAGACCCTGTGTTCAACTCACTCTGGGAGAAGACCCTGATGGCGTCACTAATAGACCCTGTCTTCAACTCACTCTGGGACAAGACCCCGATAGTGTCACCATTAGACCCTGTCTTCAACTCACTCTGGGACAAGACCCCGATGGTGTCACCATTAGACCCTGTCTTCTACTCAATCTGGGACAAGACCCCGATGGTGTCACCATTTGACCCTGTCTTCAACTCACTCTGGGACATGACCTCATTCTGTCACCATTAGACCCTGTTTTCTACTCACTCTGGGACAAGACCCCGATGGTATCAACATTAGACCCTGTCTTCTACTCACTCTGGGACAAAACCCCGATGGTGTCACCATTAGACCCTGTGTTCAACTCACTCTGGGACAAGACCCCGATGATGTCACTATTAGACCCTGCCTTCAACTCACTCTGGGACAAGACCCCGATGGTGTCACCATTAGACCCTGTCTTCTACTCACTCTGGGACAAGACCCCGATGGTGTCACCATTAGACCCTGTCTTCAACTCACTCTGGGACAAGACCCCGATGGTGT